TTAAGGAATTCTTCTTTATAGACAAAAAATTAATACAGTTTCCCAGAGTGAATCACCATTTAGTTATTCTTCATGTAATTATTAATATTACAAATAAAATTCATAAGACACTCAGGAATAAAAAGTATCTTATTTAAACATTTGCCCAAGGAGATGAAAATAAAGATTTAGACAAGATGGTATATTTATTCTCTCTCTTTCTTTCAGTTTGAGTTGAATGACTTTTCCCCCAAATCTCATTCATTACATTCTATAGCTATTTCTTGCTCAATTGCACATTTGTTAAGAGACTTGGTCTTTCATTCTCCAGTAAGGTAGGGGAAATTATTTTTTCATTATCATATTTCAACTGTTAGTAAGAAGTGAATTAGAATTGTAGTAGCTATAATTGACTGAGAAAAATTTAAATACATACTTAAATTACTTCTGTCTACCATAATTGTTGACATCCATGAGTCAACACTAGCATTTTATTTTATGACAAAAACTGCTAAATGTCAGCAGCTCATTTTTTCAATCCAATAATGTGAAAGTGATTGCAATTATTGCAATAAGTATTTGTAGGTTAAACTACATTTCTATTAGCAGAGCAATACAAATATATGAAGAGTAAGACAATATCAAGTACTCACAAACTTCCACTGTAGATTTAGAATTGTAGTCAGTAATTTATTCTCCAGTTATGCTTTTAATTTATGGTTAGACAAATGAACAACAGATTCCCTAGATTACAACCCTAGTTTAGGATTCTGTTCATTTTCTTCTTTTCTTTTCTTTTTTAAGAATGTAAGATTTTTTTTAAAAGATTTTATTTATTTATTTTTAGAGAGAGGGAAAGGGAAAGAGGAAGAGAAGGAGAGAAACACTGATGTGTGAGAGATACATTGATTGGCTGCTTCTTGCACACCTGGCCCACAACACAGGCATGTGCCCTGACTGGGTATTGAACTGGCAATGTTTCGGTTTGCAGTCCTGAACTCAATCCACTGAGCCACACCAGGCAGGGCGCAGTCTGTTCATTTTCATTGGAAAAAAACAACTTAAAATGCTAAGGTCATAGGGAGAATAAACAGGCAAATTTCATCAGAGTTTCTGAATTTCATCAGAAACTTGAATTTAGAGTTCCGGCTTCAATGCACTTAACCACCCCAATCAAATGCTTAAGCAGGCAATTATGCATAGGCATAGTCAGGTAATTATGTTTTTTAAAGAGAATGAATATTTCATCAAATTCTAAGTAAAAAGCACCATATAAGAAAGTCAGATTCTAGAAAAACAACTCAAGACATACTATGTGTGTATAAATTGCTTTCAAAAATATTTCCAGAAAAAAAAAGTAGTGTTTCCCATTGCTATTTATTCTTAGATGTTTGTTTAATAGCAAATAGTTTAATTAGTTCAATAGTGAACTGTTTAATAGCTTGTTTAGTACTAAATCATTTACATTTGAAGACATTTTGAATAATCCTATTAAACACCAATTCAAACAGTGTGGCTCATGTTTAACTCTTCAGTTATTTATCCATTAATCTCTTTAAGTGCTTCCTTCCTTGACACAGCTGTAGTTCAAGAGGTGGCCAGTAACTGGCCTACATTTCAGTGGATTTTCATGAAAGCCCAGATTTCTTTTTGCAAACGTTTTATTGTAAATGTTGTATGCCTAAATAACTTTTCCATAACTCAAGAGTTTATAAAAAGCTTTCAAAAGGATTCAAAAGAAACACATTTCCTTTTAAAAATAAAAACCAAACAAAAGAAAGCCACACATACTATAAAGATGTTCTCCGCAAAACACTGTGTTCAGCAGACCTAAAATGTCTCCAAAGGGATCAAGAACCGCTTCGCTTGCAAGCAACAGCTGAGAACTCATGACGGTTAAAATCCAGTATTAACAGCCAGGAGGAACGGCTGAGATATCACACACTGGGCCTTGCCTGGTCTCCACATTCCATGTATTAGGAATGCCTTCCTCTGTACTATTGAACCACACAGTACACCTGCCCAAAAGCCTCTGTCCTTGGTCTTCCGTTTTCTTTTCCCTTTACACTCTCCCCTAAAGACTGCAGTCTTGTTAACTATGATGTTTATGGTGACAAGTCATAAATCTACATCTCTGTTTCTGTTATGTCACCCGAACTAATCAGCTATCTCCAAGTTCTGACTTAAATATTTCCACCAGGATACGCCATCATCTCACACTCAACAAATAAACTAATGCCCTCTTTCAGTTTCCTTGTTTTTGTAATATCAAACCCACCTTTCTGGTCACCAAGAATTAAAGCAAAGGAACAACTGTGGACTCCCTGGTGACCTCCACCACTCACATTCAGTTGGCCCACGAAGCAGACTGCATTTTTCAGAGATGGCCACTAGCCTATCTCCCATCCCACATGCATTTCTACAGTATGATCTTCCCACTTCGCCATCAAATGGTGGAATCTTTTTCTCTCCCCTTGAATCCGGACTGGACTTAATACTCACTCATTACCAAAAGAACGTGACTGAAGCAAGGCCATGAGACTTCTGAGGCTAGGTCAGAACAGACCATGCAACTTCTGCCTGGTTCTCTTTCTGGGGGATGTAAGCTGCCCTATGAGATTTTCAACTACTCGAAGACTGCCATGAGAGGCCACATGTAGTCCCAACTAGGCCCAGTCTCCTGGCTATTTCACCAAGGTACCATAAATGTAAATAAAGCTGTCTTGGACCCTCCTGACCAGCTCATTTGCCAAATGAATGCCACCAATTAAACTCAGTAAAATCCCTGAGGAGAAATCACCCAGTTGAACACTCCTTAGTTCCTAAGCAAAATCATGAAGTACAAAATATGTCCCTAGCTTACCTTCTAAGCATTCAATACGTCCTATGTGGAGTTGTTACCATGTAGGGCTGAATGTTAACTGAGATGCCACTTCTTTACGTCCACTCCCAGAGCTACCAGCACAGGGGAAGCTGTCATCACCTCAGATCTGTACCTGAGTCCAGCTTCTCCTCACTACAATCGATACACAATCTATATAACCTAAAGCTCCTAACCAAAAAACTACTTTTACACACCAATGCCACGACCAACATCAATGTCATAATGTTTTACATTTGTAGAACTTTTTACAATACAAAAGGGTCTTCATAAATATCTATTTTATTTGATCCATTCAACAAAAGTCAGAGAGATCTGTCAATAGAGCCAACATCCTTTTCCTTACTATAGAGAAGAAGAGATCAGAGGCTAAAAAAATTAACTTTTGTACAATCTCATTGTCAATAAATGGCATGGATATATATAGAACTGAGAGCTTGTGTCATACACTACTGCTATTTCTCTCTTCTATAGTGCCTCCCTTCCTACTATTTCAGATAAAAAACATTCAGTGTCTCTCTCCATCCTTATTACAGCAAACCTAATTTATAGGTACCCATAATTTGGTCTCAGTCTATCCAATTGTATGATATTGCTTAGTAAACTCCTCCACAACCACCATAACAATAAGGCAGGGAATAAATATTCACGTAATAATATGCCATGCTGTTTCTAGTCTCTGAACATTTGCTCACAGAGTTTTCTCCCTTCTCCTCCTATCTAGTTAAACCTTACTCATCCATTAGCACAAATTCCACCTCTTCCATTAAGCCCTACCAGCCAATCCCTGTTACTTTCTCTCTCTGACACTCCTATACAACTCGTACATTTCACCCTAATATTGACAATTATATTGGATTGCTTATCTTGTTCAAATGTGCTGGCCTCATTTTTCAAGCTATTCAGCTAACACCATCTATACATATAGTGATGTTGGATGGTTATAGCCAATGTCTGTTCTGACCAGTCAGTGCCTATAACATACCATCTGTGAAATATATTGAATTGAATATTCAATATATTGAATATTGAAATATATTGAATCCTGCTTATTTCCCAAACTAAATCATAAGCTCTTTAGAACACAGCACTCAGTATATAACTAGTGTTCAATATACATTTATTAATTGATTTTAAGAGATCGAAGTATGTTGTGTCGTAGGAAAAGATATTGTTAAGTCATCTCTACACTGGAAAGAAAAAGTTGAAAAGTTAATAAAATATTTTTGAGATCAGTAGTTTAATGTCAGTAACATTTTTCAGTGTATCATTTAAAGATATTCTGTGCAGCCCATAACTGCCAAAATGTTTTATAAATATTTTTACCAAGGGTGTGATAAAAATGTGTCAAAAAGTATTCAAGGAGTATCTAATGGCCCAAAATAAAATGTTTGCTGAGGCTACAAGGCTGGCAGAACTCTTCTTCATTTCAAAAAGTTTCCAGGCAATGGAAATGTTTTCCTGGAAAATACTACCTTTTATTTAGAGAACACTTGCCATGAACACTTAGTCATTAAGTAATTTAAGGTTTCCTCAGAAGCTCTTTGGAGGAAATCTAGTATATGAATGAATGAAATTATCATCACCTATAATGTAAAAACAAAACAAAACAAAAAACATTTGACTAAATATATGAAATCTACCTAAGTATCTTTCCAAGTAAGGGGGAAAAGAATCTATACTTTTTGGTCTATTTACTGCTCTTTTAAAATTTCCTGTAAGATAAAACTACAAAAAAAGTCACAAATTCCATAACTGTTTCTCTGTCTGTAATACACACAAAGCCAAAAATCTAGAGGACTTACTTTATTCCACATGCCCAGTAATTTTCAAACAGACAAAATAGTCATTTCATTCAAAGAAAAAGAAATGGTAACTTCAAAGCTATTTTTAGCAAAATCTCTGAGTTTGCTTCGAATCACCTTTCAATGAGAGAGCAACTAGGTTTAGACATTTCACTCAATCGTCTGCAGTAAATCATACAATGAAACCTAAAAAAACAATTTCTTCCAAGAGTTTGAAGCCAACTAAATCTTATTCTTTTAAACATCAAAAGCCACAACTAAATTCTACTTCAAGCACATGGTCGGTACTTTTACTCTTTAAAACGTACACAGAAGGATTACTTGTTTTGCTTTACCTGTTCAGTATTTCGGTGAGTTTCACAAAGCCAGTGTATGCCAGTTCAAATGCCCCTCTGTGCCTGGACTGTAAAAGGTGTTGTTTAAAGTGATCTCCCATTTCTTTAACCTTTAAAGTAAAATAAAACAAATAAATGTTCAATTTACACTTACATTTACAGGTGTTTTATGTCAGTAATATCATGTAGAACTCAGGGTTAGATAGATGTCTATCCATACACTTACTATGTGACAAGTAGTATTTTAAGCATTTTTATATCACTTAATTCTCAATAATTCACAAAGTAAGTACTATTACCTCTATTTTATAATGGGGAAAATGAGGCCCAGAAAGGCCAAATAACATATTCAGGTCACACAGCACAGAATTGATAGAACCAGTACACAAACGTAGGCAATCTGGCTCCAGAGTTGGCAATCCTGGACAGCTACATTAGATCTGCCTCCCTTTGCCAGCTTCACAGACCTTGCTGGGTTCTTTGCTAACATGTATCATTCAACATCAACAGCAAATCACACAAGGTGACAATCCTCACACAGCTATTGTGGTTAGAATATTCATAAGGAGATTTACCATTTTAACTATCTTTAATGGTACTGTTAGTTCAGTAGCATCCAGTATATTGACACTGCTGTGCAACTATCACCACCATCCATCTACAGAACATTTTCATCTTCCCAAAATAAAACTTCAACTCAATAAACAACTCCCAATACATATCATTTAGAGATATACAAGTGTGAATGGCAAGATTCAGTGCAAAGGACCTTCTGACACCTGATAGGCATCACTTTAGTCAGAACAATGGAATTTTCCAAAATGCCACGCAATAGTTTGCTTATATGTTGCCCTTCTGCATGCAAGGTTAGACAAATAACAAATATGGATATTTTGAAGAATACATAACTAACAGTTACTGATGAGTTTTTATACACAGTTAACTGTTAAATTGTTTGGGCTGACTGTATTTTTTTACCATTAAGATTTGGTGGTTATCGGCTTCAGAAAATCCAGATTTTTAAATAAAACTCAGGACCAAAGCTACAATTGGCTATTTCTTGACCCAGGTCTCCCCACAGATCACAACATTATGGGGAAAAGACAAGCTCATGCAAGATGGCTCAGATATGCTTACCAGGAAACACCTTCTGCCTAAGCACAGCGACTAGAGTTCTCAACACATCAGAGATGATAAAACATATAAAAAACAGTTAAATATGTGACCATAAGCAAGTGTCTCAGTTTCCTCATCTATAAACCAGAAATAACAATACCTCATAGATTGTCGCATAGATTGTATATTAAAATGAATACATATAAAGCTCAGAACATGCCAAAAATCGGCATTCCAATTCAGTTCCAAAATGAGCTTTGTGTGGGTTTCCAAATAGAGGAAAAATAAAGACATAATCCATACTCAAAATGCATGTGGCTTTAGAGAGGTAATGAATGATATATTTAGAAAAATAAGAATCAGATATAAAACAAAGAACCAGAAAAGCAGCATAACAGAACTTTGAAAATTCTAACACATTAATAACCCAAAGAGGGACGTGTCATGTTCTTTAACTCATGTTTTCATGTATAGATTGAATGATACTCCTAATTTTAGTATGTTTTAAAGGCCACATATTATTAGTTGTCAAAAGTCAGGGTAAGCCTCATCATTTTATCTTCAATACAGTAATTTCAGAGTATATTTTGAAAAGCATTGTCAAGCCTTAACTATAAGCTAAACTGCCAACATAGAGCCAAAGTGCAATAATCCTGAAAAACGGGCACCAGGAAAACACGTTAGCTAACTTGTTATGACAGTATTTCTATTAGAAAAATAAAAGATTTCTGAGAAGGTGTTTTAAGCCACAGAAAATAAAAACATGAAGTCACAGAGAAGAGGTTTCTCTAACTTCCTTATTTTTTTCTAAAATACTATAGACAATCAAAACATTCAGGAAAACACAGATGTATTGGTAAAGCACTTCTCTGTGGACTTAAGAACAGTTCGCAGTCTAGTTCTTAAACAAAGATCATATTTACATTGCTTCCTTTATTCTATCTCCCATCAAAGGGGCCTAAACCAAAAAAACATACAATAAAGTCAAGGTGTTCAGAAGTGTGACCAGTGGATGGTCTTCTCAAGGGTGGACCTCAGCTCTAAGTAGTCCTGGCCTCAGAAAACAAAATGGTTCTGAGGACACAAGTGAAAGGCTGATAGCTTCTCCTCACTGCATTTTGTACTTAATTTCCAAAAAAACCCAAAAACCAATCTAGGTATACTCAGGCTTACTGTGCATTTTTCCCTTCGAAGGGAATATAAAATTTCTGTTAATCAAATATTCCTTTAGCACCCTGCCAAATGCTTAGCAGATCAGTGTTAGGGTAGACAGAAAAGAACAGAACAAGATGGCTGTCCTCAAGGTGCTTTCAGTTCAAAGAAAACCAATGTGCTGGCTGGTACCATTAGAAGCTCAACAGCTCCAAGAAATGCAAGATCCTTCTGTACTGAAATAAACTATTAGAAGAAGCTTCATGTGCAAACGTCAAACAGGATGTACCTGGGTGGACCAAAATGGAAGAGGAAAGCTAATATGGAAAGAAGCTGGGTGACTAGAATGAATGAACAAACATTTTTTAAGTACGTCCTACCTGCTAGACACTTTACTGGGTCTATTCATATGAATGTATACAGAATATATAGGACAAGGTTAGCAAATCTGGCTGAAAAGCCTCAAAGTTTTATGCTAGAAAACAGTGGAAGGCAGGGAAGGCAGGGATTTGTACCCCATTACGAAGTGTAGGAGAAGCCAGCAGGGCAGTGGGGTCTATGAGCAGCCGGACAGGGAAAAGAGGCCATGAGCACACCCTTCTGCTGGATAATCCGACTACAGGGGATGATCTGATGCAAACAGCTTAGAAAGTTAAGGACAACAGTCAGAATCAGAAACAGAATCTTTAAATTTAACTTTAAAAATGAAAAAGTCCTCTGAAAATTCCAACTCAATTGTCTTAACATAGATGATGTTTTTACAAGATATTTTCTTAATAAATAACATAGATCTCAAGATTTTTAAAAGGGGATTAAGGTAAAAATACAAAAAAAGGAACTGATTATTATTCTTAAAATTAAATTCTCATTATTGTCTTTTTAAATTTAGCAGCTCCTGACTCTAACTTTTCATAAAACCTACTTCTATAGGCAAATTAATACGCTGTATAGACTTGGAGGGTGTGAATACGCACAGGGAGTACTGCTACATGCCATGTCTCCAGGTGTCCATACATAACTTACCAGTGGGCTACTCAGGGGAGCTAAATGCTCATCTAGAGCATAAAACCCACAAAGGACAAATGTAAATATATTTTTTATTTGTCCTTTATCTATACAGAAGGGAAAAATACAGTAGAAAAATCAAGGCTAATTCCACTCATTAGAAATTAGATAAGCCCAAGAGGAATTAAGTAAGCTGGGACACTTCTACAAAAACGCTTTATAGTGGTTAAGACCTGAGAGGACTGGTTCAGGAACCCTGCTCAGCCTCCTTACTGATACAAGCTAATTAATCAACACAGTTCCTTTGTGAGACGGGGTAAAACTAAAACCTACTTCATAGGATTATTCTGAGAAAAAAAATGAGATTGTACATATAAGCATTTAGCAGAGCATCTGGCACAAAAGAGCAAACAAAAAATGACCATTTTGTTTTTCTCTTGTATTATTAAGTAGTAAGGCTTAATTCTAAACCTTAATTTAAAGTTTGACTTTAAGGCACAGCCACTTCTTATAATCTTAGGAATGTCAATAAGAGTTTCGAATTCCACTTTGGTAAAATGGTACAGTTTATAAAAGTTTACACTACAGTAGGATAATTAATGTTTTAAATAGTGTGTTCTCTACTATAATGATTTCTTATTAACATTTGGAATTTTGTCAAAGCCTAAACATTGTTCTTTTATATAATAACAATGAAGATATTAGTTTTCTACTATTCAGACATCTTCTTACTAGACTGTTTATTATTTGATTTCTAGCAAATTCTTAACTGTATGCCATTTTACCTGTTGTCCTTTAGGCTGACTTTCTGTCTTATATCCCTACTATATTTCTAAGCCCGTTGAGGTTAAAGGACCACATACTATATTCCTTTATGTTCCCACAATACCCTTGTAGTAAGACAGTCAATAAATAGGTAACTAAATGATTTGCTTAACTTCATTTCACAGCTTAAAAATATAGTAACCTGCATTCAGTACAATTCAATGAATACGTGTTCTTAATTTCTTAAAAATAAACCTCAGCAAAGAAAATGCAAAAGGCAATTTCTTTACAACTTCTGAATGCTCATAACCACATCTTCCATTTTGTAGTCCATTACAAAAAATCTAAAACAGTAACAAAAGACCAGAAGAAATGTATAAACCTAGTTAGCCATGTATATCATGAAAATTACAACAGAATCTGAAGTAGGAGTTTAAAAAATATGTAATTTCTAATAGTTGGTAATTACTTTTATTCATGTGATTTCTGTGACAATTACAATGAAGGGGGAAGCAGCCTGAAAATCTACCCAAAAGCTTCTTTTTAGAAATATTAGAAGTATATAAATATACATAAATTGGTACTCCATTTAGAGGAAGTTGTTTAAAAATATCAGTAGGCACTGGGTGAATGTCCCATGGCAAGAGGACCAACAAAAAGTATCATGTAAAAGCTCTACATCAGCACAACGCCCAGCTTGAAACCTAGACACACACCAGTCAGGAAGTTGTGAGATAAGGTTGCCCGTACCACTCACTCTTTAAGGGTCTCGACTTACATCCCTCAAAGCTGGTTTGATCTCTGCCTCTTGTACAGGAACATTATGAAAGAACCTTTCAGTATGTGATTACCTTGCAGGAGGAAAGTCAGACATGCCTCTGAATGAACACATTTTCCTCTTGGTGAAGCTGCAGAGGATACACTGCTACATAAGTGATTTAGGGAAATGAATCATTTGCTAAAAAGTTCAGTAGCAAGTTGCCTTACTGTCCTGTTGCTTGCAAAACTTTGGTTGGATATGGGAAGTAGGGAAAATTAAATTTAAAGAAAAATTAAATGAGCAGCTTGGAACAAAGACAGCACTGTGCCATGTCAGAAAACAGGATGGAAACAAGAAGAATTGGGTTCCTGTCCCAGAGCTGCCACAAACCAGCTTTGTGATCTTGGGCAAACCAGGTAACATCCAAGGGCTTCAGTTTCCCCTTGTACAAGGGAGCTGGATAATATCATCTCTGTGATCCTTCCAGCTCTAATAGTCTGTGAATACAGCACTGAATACTCGGGAGTATAAATGAGCACCAGTTCTCGTACAGCAACAAAGACCCCCAAATTGTAATCTCACTACCTGCTGGCGTATTATAAACTACAGTCATGTACATGGTAATTAAGCGGTCACCCCTTTAACAAAGGGCATAAAGACAGGCTTAAAGGAATTGGGCTAGAAAAGAAATCCTCTCTCTTAACTACATTCGAGACATCTAATCACAATAGAATTACACTAGTTTTTCAAGAGTGAAGGGTGAGTGGAGCGTAAGAGAAGCCTAAGGCTGAACATCAGTATTTTAGGATGTAGAAACAGCCTCCTCTTCATCCACTGAGAGAAAAACAGATCACAGTTATTACTGAGCTTGGGAATAAGAAATCCAAATTCTACATTCTCTCAGAAAGGGTAGCATTCTGCCTGCAAGTCCCTTCACTGCCTCTGCTCTGTAGGTTTATTATGCTCACCATTACCTGAGGTGCCGACTTTTAAATTCTTAGTTTTGGCACCAGACGCACAGAACATCTAGTGTTTCCAGGGCAACTATGACCATGGAAGGCGGGTAGACCTTGGGCACGGCCCAGCCGCTCCAATGTAAATTACATTTTTCTTTGTCATTTATATTTTTTAACTCTTAAATGTTTTAAGCACATGGGAGTATATTTTTTAATTTAAAGGAATTTCATGGAGTAAAATTTTATGTTTAAAAGGACTCCTCTAGCAATATGAATAACACTAATTTCTTGATGACTTTGGGTTTTCGTTGACTAAATGCTCCTAAACTGAGGCATTTCTTCAAAATCAGCATGATCAAGAATAGGTTTCCACAGAAGGCAGGTTTTCAACGTCAGAACCATGCTGTCACGTACACTCTTGACCATTCATCCCGTTGCTCATTTCTTCTCAAACCTATATATGAGAGGTCACCGAGTGAACAGCAACAGAGAAAAATGACTAGACCTCATGAGACTAGGATAATATTTTACAGAAAAACAGGATGCTATTTTTTATTCAAGAAAGGAGTCATTAGAAAAGTTCTTTGGTTCATAAGAGCCTCTCTTTGTTATTATCGCTGTTGTCCTTTTACAAACATCTCTTTTATATTAACTTTCAATATTAATATGGTTATCTCACAAATTAAATTCATAAGGTCTAGGTGCTATATGAAAAGTGTCAAGGCAAAATAATTTTCCTAGGAAGCTTTCGGGTCTTTCTCAGTTACAGTAAAAGCAAAATATGTTTCCCATACTTAAAGCAAAACACAAAAAACAAAACAGAAAAATGCTATCCAACAAGCCCAGAGAACTAGATATTTTAACTTGTCCTTGAAAAGTTGAGAAGTCAAGGGACTCCAGCATATGTGTACTGCTTAGTAAGATGGTGAGCATCAGTGAGGTAATCATTAATCATAGCTGGATTCCTCAGCAAAGATGTTGGCATTGGCACTGCAGCCAGTCACCAGCAATGACTGCAAGTAACTCTAACACACTAACGCCTATTTGATTTGGAAGAGAATGAGGAACATAATGATGCTGGCAGTGCACAGTTCCCTCTGCCATTCTTCAACACAGGGCCTTGCAACATCATCACTAGCCCAGCTGTTAACCAGATGTAAGCACATGAGCCTAAGAGAGTGTGAGAATAAAAATATTAGCATTATTTCCATGGAACCAGTCACACAGTTATTATAGAAATAATCAGCATTAGCATACTACAATGTTTGTTTTGTTCTTAAATGTTGTAACACCCTAAGGGAAAAATTATCTTTATTTGAAAAAGGTTAAAAATGAAAGTACATGTTATATATCTTTGTTGGAAAATGGATTTGTTGAAACCATATGGAGAGGAAGAGGGAATCAATTAAAAACAGAAATCTAATAAATCTAAAATATTTCCAAATGAAATGCTTATGGTAAGCTAATTTCTTGTAAACAGTGCACTCAAGTCAATTGAACAGTCCCAGATGGTGAACTAACTTTGTGGTCTTAAAATAAGAGCCACCAAACCAAAGTGACTACAACTTATATTATCAACGTAGTAGGAAACAAGAGATTCATAATCAACCAATAGAGTACTATTTTTTTTCTTTGCAAAATTTAAGTTCATGGAGTTTTACTAAAGAGGCAATTTCACTTAAAATTTGTATGTGTTGATTAAAATTAATATGATAACACTGAAGTTAAAAGTGAGGTAAAATCTACAGTTATTTCTATAACTTAGAAAAAAAATTTCTAAAAATACCATAGTTTCGAAATGTAATGCAAGATCTAATTCTTCAACTACCATAAACTTACTTCAGTTGACATCTGTATGATTTTATTTAAGAAATATTCAAGGCTCTTTTTTTAAAAGTTGAGTTATAAATAAAAGGTTGCGATCTATGCTTTGACCAGAAATTACACCAGGTGAGATAAACATCCACCCTACCTGCCCCTCCGTCAATAGCGCACCAGGAGGTTCCGGGACAGACCGCATGGGGAGGAGTTGGCACAGGGTGCCTAGAAGAAGGGAAACTTCCTTCATACTTCTCCAACAGCATACTAGCACCATCTGAGCGGTTACATCACATGTTTTTCCTTCTTTACCTTAAAAAAAAAAAATCTATTGCAACACTTGATTGCTCACATCCCAGGTTTCTTAGAACAAGCTTATTTATCATTTCCCCAAGTATAATCTGCTTAAACAAACCAATTTGTCATAAATTATATTTACTCAGGAGAAAATAACTAACATTTGTTGAGCATGTCTTCTGAGGAGAAATCATGCTAAGTCTTTTTTAAACAAATTATTTTCAAAATAAATTTAAAAATAAATACAATATTGTTTCAAAAACTTACATCTTTGGAAGTTAATGAAATAAACTCTCTCTGCCACTCAGCCATCCATAAAATATGACTATAACAAATATACCTCATTGTTTATGTTGGTGAGGGTGGCTGTTATATCAGTAAAACAGTAGGATAGGACTATTTAAATCAAAGGAAAACACAAATTTGCTTTCAAAATATATTTAATCCCATGGCAAATAAGCTATAATTATCTTTACTGTCTTATTCAAGTTTTAGAAATATTTTAGTACTAACATTAAAAAAATCCAAGTTATTAAATTTAAAAGGTAAGTAAACAAAACAATATTTACAATGTAATCCCACTTGTGTTTTTAAAAGCCCACTAAACTACAAGAATAAATGTACATATATATAAATACATAAAACAGGTCTAAAAGGATATACACTCAGAGGGAAGAAGTGGGATTAGGGAGGAGATGAAGGATAACTTTAATTTGTTTTTAAGTCATATTTACTTCTGTATTCTTTGAAACTAATAAACATATACTTATGTTATTTTGTGTAATTAAGAAAAAAAATAGAAATTTTTACAAGACAATATCCCCATCTAGTGGACGATGTAGAAAATGTAACGAATCACTAAGATGCTGCTTTTGACAACTTTTTGTGGCATTATAGAAAATTGTAAAATAACAACTAATGAGAAAATAAACAATAATAATTTGAATTCTGGAGGCCTGGTACAACAGAGCAGCTCACATGTGTGTAACAAAGCTTGTTTTCTTGAAAAGGCTCCTTGAGTATAAGGATGCTCACAACAGAAAGCAACGAACCACGCAGTGGGAAGCCAATTGCTGCCCAAACCCAGATTCACCACGCATCACTGCTCTCCCATTGCCTGGCTGTCAAGACAGGTTTTAGCACTCACATGCTTTTTTGTAGCACCTTATATACTACACTAATGCACACCACTTTCTGGTAAGAGTTTTATAAGTTCATTCCCCAAATAAATCATTTATAAGGTCAAAAAAAAGACTTCATTTTTAAAAAATCTTCTCTTTATATCTGCAGCCTCTGATTTGTTATAAAAAGGGCATTTTGTACATTTTTTCCTTTGTCACTTAAACACTGATTATAATACTGATTTAATATATATGCTACCTTTGATTTCTGCAGAAGTATCAATATTTGGTATACTGGCATTCAAGTCCTCCAAATCAAAGCTATCACGTTCTTTCAATATTTTGGCTTGATTGAAGTAATCATTAGTATCTCGTGGCTGAATCTCATTCAGAATCATCTGTAAGCGGCTTGCTGACTCTGAGGAAGAGAAATGACAGTACATAAAACTCCAGTTCCATACCACATGCCAGTTTTCCTTGGGAGGTTATTTGCCCTCAAAAATTTTGTAATTTTCAGCCCTGGCTGGTATGGCACAGTGGATTGAGTGCTGGCCTGTGAACTAAAGGGTTGCCTGTTTGATGCCCAGTCAGGGCACGTACCTGGGTTGCAGGCCAGGTCCCCAGTTGGTGGTGCACAAGAGGGAGCCACACACTGATGTTTCTCTCCCTCTCTTTTTCCCACCCTTCCCCTCTCTCTAAAAATAAATAGATAAAATCTTTAAAAAAAGAAATTTGTAATTTTCAATACTTGATAATCAACTCTATCAGAAGGGACTCACTGGATAATGTGAAATGTATTTATACAAGGTCTTAATGACACTGAGGGTACTTTTAAAATATGGCAAATATATTAAATAGGTTGAAGCAAGGACAACAAAACCACAACAGAAACTGTCCATAGGACAAAGGTTGCCATTCCATTTAAATCACTTTTCTTAGTGTTGTCTAAGAATCTCAAATATGGTGCTCAAGCATGAGAAAGAAAGGCAATAAATGCCTGTAGATTTTAAGATGTTGTTTTCCTATCTACAGCAAAAGTTACCAAGGTTTAAAAGAAGAAAGTTAATTAAAAAAAAATAAAAGAAATCCCATCACCAACAAAAACAGTCTTTTATAACCCAGGAATATCATAAAGACTCCATATTTGACTCTAAATGCATTATGTAATATACCGTTTTATAAGTATGATTTCAAGTCCTAGTATTACATTAAACTTTGTTTTTATTCCCTAAGCACTCACTGAATCAGAAAGTGTAAGCTCCATGAAAGCAAAACTTTGATCTGTTCACTGCTGCATGGCCAGTGCCTGGAACAGAAATTGGCTCATGGCAGAGGTTCAGTAACATGGGCTGAAGGAATGAATGGATGACTAGGTAATAAAGAGCGAGCGAGGCTCAGTTTTAAAGGAAATAACAGCTGGTAATCACCTGAAACCAATGAACTAATCATAGAGCAGGTATTTATTTACTATATACCTCTTACATACACTTATATTTTAGGTATTAGGGGAAATACAAAGACCCAAACTGCTGTCATGACAATTCAACCAACATCTTATGTTCTCTTGTGGTTTCCATGAAATTTTGCCAAGAATGAATTTTGACAGCCATGAAAAGGTAACACTGGCCCGAAGAAACCATGAAAACTAAAGAAAAAGAGAGATGATCAGAGTGAAATATGAAGAACCCTACCATTAATTTTTATGGCTTTCTGGAGAAACTTTTTACAAGGAAATCAGAAAGCATGGCAGGTAGCGTGGGGAGAAAGGCAGAAAAAAACAAAGACAACCAGAGGGAAAAAAACAAGGCAAAATTAAGGAATCGGTGTGCCACAAAGAAGTTTTTGAGATTGACAGATATTTTTAAATGTTAACAACCATTATTTTAGTATACTCTGCAGGCTTTACCCACAATAAGTGACAAATATTCAAGATTTCTCATCCAGAATATGCAGGGTGGGGCAAAAGTAGGTTTACAGTTGCGAGTACATGAAACACAGAGTTTATTCTTATATAATTATTTATTAATTATTGTATTATTTTCCATACCAACACTGTAAACTTACTTTTTCCCCACCCTGTACTGGTACTTGGTTGCCTGATCCAAATATCAGCTATAAAATTGGGTGTTCTTTATTTTTATGTATTAAGTAGGAAAACTAAGGCATGAATTTTGATATTTAGACTATCAGCCAAAATAAGTAACTGCCTTAGACTCATGAACCATCACCAATTTTCCAACTCACTTTTAGTAAAGAACAAAACCTAACATTAGCTATGCAAACACACAGCTCCAAGTTACTTAAATTATCAGTCCTAGGTATTACTTTGTATGATGCAATGTTTATGATATATTCAGTGCATTTTTAATACAAGGCTCTCATTTGCACTACAAAATGCATTCAAACTTTACTTCAAGACCACATGTAAATTTACTTCGTGATTTTCTAAGTGTTAACAGCCAATTCCTTCTGGCCCGTTGTAGCACAGGTATATTATTATATACCACTTAGGTCATCCCAGGCACTGAATTTAGTTCCCATCCTTTCAGGAACTGTTCACTCACTGGTTTATTCATTATAACAAATATTTATTGTGTACCTAACTCTACAGGCACTGTGTTAAGCACAAGGGGAAAAAAATATAGACAAGATCCCCATTAAACTGTGACAACTCCATGAAGATGCAGTCTATGGAAAGTGGGGTGTTCTAAGAGACAAGGCGGGCAAGGCAGCAGGAGCCAAATAGTACAAGACCTGGTCAGAGGTCACTAAAGTATTTTAAATAAGGGGGGTTGGGTGGGGCAGGGCACAAGGGTTGTGTAACGATTTTGTGTAACATGATGAATTATATGATTAGAAGATTACTTTGGGTGCAGAAAGCAGGAGATAAGAGTAGATGTAGGGAAACCTGTGGAGAGGCCCCTGGAATAGTACAAACGAGAGAAGATAAAAGCCTGGAGTAACTAAGAAGATGCAGATAAAAAGAAAAGAGATTTGAAAGATATTTAAGGATAACCCTGAAAGAATGCAGAGACAGGCTAAAACTGAGAAGCACAAGAGGTCAGGCAGCCCTAGGCTCCTGACTTGCATGAACAGGCCTTTGGTAGTGCCATTTGCGAAGACATAGGGGCTGAGAGGGAAAAGACAGATGAAACTTCATGATATAAAATGGGTGCATTTTGAGTATCTCCTTCTGTTTTTTTAAGTAAATGCTCTTTGCCCATTTCAGATTCCTAAAAAGTTGCTTCTCTGACTGAACCCCCTCAACTGCCACCTCTCGGTAACTGCCTGCTCTCCCAGTCCCAGCAATTACTGGTACCTGGTAAGCTGTGCTCTGAAATCACAATATTATAAAACCCAATTTCCTCCAGGCGAGGAAGTGCCTGACTCATCACCTGGTTATTTATTTACTTGGGTTATTTTGTAACACTTAAAGATGTTATTAAAAAGGCAGAAATATCACTAATAATAATTACTTTTCTCCCCTATTTAGCATGTATAACTCTCCAAAGAAATGATTAGGAAAAAAATTTAAAAGGAAAGAAAAAATGTATGAATTTGAGCTCTCTTCCTTTGCCGACCTGAATCAGTGTCCATTGGGATGAGGCCTTCTGGGGAAGAGCTCTGAATGACCGGGGACACCACGGCAGACAGCCTGTAGGACATCGCAAGGAGCTTCTCCACCACAGGTCTCCACTCACTCACCAACTGCAGGCTGCTGCAACAAGGGTGTTACGGAAATGAACACTAAGAGCAAACATCAAATTTTGTAAATAGAAATCAACAGACAAAAGGAATTGAAAGAATCTGAGTTTCAAAACTGTGCAGCTTATGAAAGATTTAAGAAATAAAAATGTGTGTATATGTGTACATTTTTAAATCTAATTTTTAATTATCTGTAAGGTCATACATTCCTTTCCCAGGACACACTCCAATAAGAGTTGAGAGCCCAGAAATAAGTGTTCAGGAGAGAACTGTGGACACACTTACTGCAGAGGTAACTTCTGCAAAGCCCTTGTTATGCAGTGAACTCGCCCATACATTGGAAACGATGCTGCTGCCTGGAGCAGAGAATGTTCAGCCTGAGATATTTCTTCCTCAAGATTTTCCAACAAGCATTTGATAACTAGAAAAAGCAAACAAAAAACAAAAAGTAATGCAAGTTTAAAACCACACATACAAATTTGTGAACAGCAAAACAGTTCCCATGAAAACAATTCTACTGATCTTTATACAAGAGGTTTTGAATGAAAAAAAAACTCTTGAGGTTTTTTGGCCTGTTATCCATTCCAGTTATAGTAGAACTGAGTGTCTTTTCCTAATTTCCTGGATCCATTTACAGCATTCACTCCAAATCACTCCTCCTAGGATCCTCTACTTAGCGTATTAGGCCCGAGACCCATGTGCAATATGCTGTTTGGACAGCATATTTTTTTAAATAGTAGATTTATTGTGATATAAATCATATATCATTTATACATTTACATTGTACATGTCAGTTGTCTTTAGAATACTCATATTCACAGATATGTGCAACTATCACCACAATCAACTTCAGAACATTTTCATACTCCCCCATCAAAAAACCCTCACCCCTTAGCAGCCACTCCCCTCCCTGCACTGCTCATCTTCCCAAGCCGTAGGCAATGACAGATTTTCTGTCTCTATAGATTTGCCTATTCTGGATATATCATATAGCATAATGTTTTCAAAGTTCACCCATGTCGTAGCATGTATCAAGATTTCATTCTTGCTTACAGATAAATAACAAATAGTCCATTGTATGGATACATCATATTTTGTTTACCTATTAATCAATTCGTACACATGTGGGTTGTTTCCACTTGTTAGCTATTATTAATAATGCTGCTATGAACACTTGTGTATGAGTTTTTGCTTGTTCTCTTAAGTATATGCCCATTATGAACTGAATGTTTATATCCCCCCCAAAATTCATGTTGAAGCCCTAACCCCCAATGTAGTGATATCTGAAGGTGAGCTTTTAGGAAGTAATTAGATTTCAATGAGGTCATGAGGGTGGGACCCTCCCTGATGGGATCAGTATCCTTGTGAGAAGAGGAAGAGAGACCAGAGCTTGCTCTCCTCCAAGTGAGCACAAAGTAAGAAAGCTCCTCTCTGCAAGCCAGGAAGGTCCCCGCCAGGAATGGAAGCTGCCAGCACCTTAACCTAGAATTTCCCAGTCTCCAGAACTGAAAAAAATAAATGTCTATTGTTTAAGCTTTCCAGTGTATAGTACCTTTTTATAGCAGCCTGAGCTGTCTAAGGCAATGCCAAAGAGCAGAACTGTGGAGTCATATGGTAACTCTATATTTAATCTTTTGAGGACCTGCCAGGCTGTATTCCAAAGTGGCTGCACCAATTTACATTACCACCAGAAGTTATGAGGGATCCACTCTCTCCATATCCTCATCTACACTTGCTACTATCTTTATCATTATTATTATTATTATTATCATCATCATTACTATCATCCTACTGGGTATGAAGTACTTCCTCACTGTGATTTTGATTTGCATTTCCCTAATGGCTAATGATGTTGCGCATCTTTACAAGTAGTTATTGTTCATGTTTAACTTTTTTACCTATTCAGAGTCTTTGTCCATTTTTAAATTTAGTTATATCCTTTTATTAATGACATGCCGAAGCTCTTTATATATTCTGGATACAAATCCCTTACCAGATAAAGGATTCGCAAATATTTTTCCCATTCTGCCATTTTCTTTTCACTTTCCTGATGGTGTCCTTGACATGACAAAAGTTTAATGGAGTCCAATGTATCTAATTTTCCTTTGTTGTTTACGTTTTGGGTATCATATCAAACAAACCACTACCTACCTCAAGATCACAAAAATTTACACCCATCTTTTCTTCTATGAGTTTTTTCTTTTTAGTGCTTACATTTAGGTCTTTTGATTCATTTTTAAGCTAATTTTTGTATATGGTATGAGGTAGTGGGTCCAGTTTCATTCCTTTACATGAGAATATCCAGTTATCTCAGAACAGTAGGTGTCTTCCCTCACCATTCAGAAGGAAAGGATTATATTTTAAATTTTATAACTGTATATAACCAGTAAATTATTAATATTAGGGACATATCAAGACCTCCTAAAAATCAACAGGAAAATAACTCCATAGAATACTGAACAAAGGATATGAAAAAGCATTTCACCAATGGGGGAAAGTGAACTGCTTATAATAACACATAAAAGGATGCTCAATTACATTAGCAATCAGAAAAAGGCAAGATTAAACCACAATGAGATACTACTTTATATTCTGCAAATTTTTAAAATTTGACAATAGCAAGTTATGGTGATGATGATATGCACCATAACTCATAGTTTATAGGTAGGAGTCTAATTTGAAGTTCTATTTGGGCATCAACTAGTAAAGTTGAAGATGCACATATTTTATGACTAGGCTACTCTACTTTTTTGTTTACTATAAACCCTTAGACATGTGCAATAGAAAAGCTATACAAGAATGCTCACATCAGCATTATTTATTTAGAAAAGAAGAAGTCCATCAACAGGAGGATGTACGATAAACTTTAGTAAATGTATGTAACATGTAGTACTATTTATATAAAATTCAAAATCATGTGAAAGTAAATACCGTATTTTGCCAAATAATGCACACTTTTTTGTCCAAATTTATGAGGGAAAAATAAGGATGCACACTATACATGGGTAGTACTAATTCCGTACCTATATGTTTTTAATTCTTTTATTTATGCTTATGCGTTCAAAGTGTAACTCTAGAAAGCAATAACGATATCTATATGCAAAATAATACCCTGGAATACAGTCATTGGTTTTGTTTCTAAATATAAATAAATAACAGAATTAAAAAATTAAAATGAAAGATATTTTTCCTAAAATTTGGGCCAAAGCATGGGTGTGCATTACACATGAAAGCACACTGTACATGGCAAATACAGTGCTGTATTGTTTAATGATACACATACAGGTAGTAAAGCTTTGGTAAAAATAAGATGAAAGATTAATATAAAACACCGAACAGTGATCACATGATGGGGAGAGGGACCTATGATAAACGAGAGCCTTCAAAGGTATGGCTGCTGTTGTATTTCTCAAGCTGGGTGTTATCACTTAGCTTGGGCACAAAACGTTAAATTTTTATATTATTACTATTTAAACTACATATTTTTGAATATTTGAAGTATTTCATAAAGTTTTAAAATTTTGGAGAAAATAATTTTCAACTTTTTCTATATCTAACCTCTTTTTGTAAAAAAATAAAAATCCCTATCTGTCTTTATTTCCAGTACAATTTCAAAATGAAGATTTACTTGTATAAAATTAACTACGTAACTCTCCAACAAATATTTGTTGAAATCCTTAGATTTAAGCCAACTCAGACCCTAGATTTTAGGACTGGTTGTAAGGAAAGAGTAAAAACCAGGGGTATGACAACCAGTTAAAACAAACCCCGACAGACAAAGGAACTCTCTGCTCTATACAGAAATAACAAAGATGATCTGGCTACAGTCAGGGTAAAATTTCTGAGAAGAAAAAGTACATTTTTACTAGAGAAAGAGTTCAATAACAGCTTTATTCATGTACATTTGTATATCTACTTATTTAATATGAACATCTGTTTAAAAACAAGTGTTACAGCTGAGAAAATGATCTGCCTAAGAGAAACTCATGGTATTCTTTTAAGCTGGTTAACTACTATGCTGGTAAACTCTAAACAAAAAACCACAAAGAAATGTTTAACCCTTAGATATTCTAACCAAATGAATACTGAACAAGTAAGATACTGGTTTTGATAAATACAGCAAAAGGTCATGCACTCAATACAAACCCATTAATGTGTTACTTTCCACCACAGCAGCAGACTTATCTCCATTTCCACATGCAACCGGCCGGGTTTTTAAGTAGGTGGACAGAGATGACGGCAGAGCATTCTGACAGATCAAGAAGTTCAGCAGGTAGGAAGCTGTTACACAGTCATAGGGTTTGGTGCTGGTGCTGAGCGCCAGTGCTGCCTGGAATAGGCCTTGCAGTTTCTCTGAATCCTAGAATAAAGCAGACTCAGTAACTGTCACTAAAACATTTCTTTAACTTGAAGGAATAATACATACTTAAAAAGAGAGCCTGCTGCATAACTGCAGCCCAGTAGGAACATTAATTCCCTTTCTTCCTGAATATAGGTTAGAGTTTTTATTATAGTAATTGATGATTATTATTAATCAGTTCTGGTGATGAGAGTCTTGAAAATAATATCAGTTGGAAAAATTCAACATCGATAAAGGTTTTTTTAAAAAACTACCTTTCTTTGGCAAAAGTGTACTTTTTTCTGCAAGAATTCTGCTATGACTACAGCCAGACCATCTCCGTTATTTCTATATTTAGAGATCAGAGTTCTTTTGTATACCCAGGGTGTTTCAGCTGGTCAGCATAGTCCTGCCCTTCTCCCTCCCCCCCCACCACAGACCTAGTTCAAAGGAGGAAAATACAAATTCAAACAAAAATACAAATCCACCGAGCTGTTCCTGGCAGAGCTCCATGTATACACACGGAAAATAATCAGAGAAGCCTCAGAAATTCTGCATCTGGGCTCCCACACCTACATCTACCTATATCTCATGTACAAATCCACTCACATAGCCCCATTCTAAAAAAGACAGAACAAAGGACAATTCACGGTAATACCCATGGAAAGGCAAGCGGGCTGAGGACAGGAAACGTGGGTCCTAGTCTCAACTCCACGACTGACAAGAGGCATGCTCAACATGCCGGAACCCAGTGTTTCACTGCTCAATAATACTGATTCGCTAGGATTATTCCATAACTATCTAATATAAGAAAAAATCATTATAAACTTAATTTTGAAAGTCATTATAGGTACACTCACAATTAATGATATCAAATGTACTAATTCAAAGATCAATTTCAATTTAAATTCTTTCCTTTTGATATGTATAATTTTTTATGATGTAAAAACTTAAAAAGTATCCAAAAGCTCAACTCTAAATAGTATTTGAAAGAAGCAATTAAGCCATTTTTTTGTAACTAACAGTTAAGTCTCTGAATTCCTTAACTAACCAGTTAATACGAAACATAATATATAGACTTTGGAATCTAAAATATCTTTGTTCCACCATCTGAGTTCAATCACAATATAATATAAAGACCTTGGATATCTTGTTCCACAGGAAAGAAGGACAACAGATTTTATGTACATATCTGTGTGTGTGTGTGTGTGTGTGTGTGTGTGTGTGTGTGTGTGTGTGTGTATCTCCTTAGAGAGCTTGGGTTAGCATTCAAAAAATGTTTTAAAGTTAACTATATTAAAATATTAATTATATATTAATATAAGGTATACCCAAAGAAAGACTTTGGAAATATGTAATTAACATTTTAAAATCTTGAATGCCTATTCCTAAGATCATTTTATTAATATGCAAGCCAGACCACATATTAGAACCACCAAAATCCTACCGTAAGCCATATGTGCTACTGTCCTTCCTGAATTCTACAGTTGGTGTCTATATACCAAGCACATGATTACCAAACTAGATATACAGGGGCCCCCTAAGGACACTTCACAATTCATGTAAGGAACAGGTCTTTCACATAGGTGCTATAATGTACCTTCCCCACTCCAGATATTTGCAAAGTATTTGCCAGGAATGAGACATAGTTTATTTATATATATAAATTACATACATTTATATATATAAATAAATTACAAGGCTACAATGTGATGAAAGAAAAGGAGCAAGGGGAAAGGAGGTATGAGAGAGAACAAAGGAAATAACTCGTAGAATAAGATAAAGTATCTTCTTTAAAAATTCTCTATGGTACAAACAGAAGCTGAAGCACCAAAGTAGCTTCTGCTCACCAGGGCACCTGAAAACCACAGGGATAAGTGAACTCTAGGGAGCAATTCCAACATGGATCTAAGTTAGAGAAGTTGCTCTGCGGTCTTAAAATGCCATCTAGAAGCCATGGGAACAGACACCTCGTGCTTTCTGCCATCTGCTCTCACAGAATCCCACTATAGCCACAAACTGTCATACCCTAAACACAGTCTAATAGTTGGAGCCCAGACCATGGCTCATGCCCTTGGCCTTTCCACAGCTCTAACAAAAAGTCATAGCAAAGACCCAGAGCCAGTGACCCCACATCTGCTGGTGACCTCACAACCCAAGAATAAGCCTGAAGGGCAAAGCAGAACCTTGCGCTGGGGAGCCCCCTGCAGACCCATCCCCACGCTGTGCCCTCATTCCCAAGCCCATCTTTGGTTCACACCCCAAGGTGGGAAATTCAAGGTGTCAGGAAGAGAGTGGAGGCTGGGGATGGAGTAGACCGCCCAGGGGGAGAACTGTTCTTAACCTCAAGTACTGAGTTTCAGTCTCAGTTTAGCTATTGCGTGTTGGAAGATGAGAAATATGTTTTTTACCTCATGTAACACTCAGCTTCCCAGTCTGCTAAACAGGGAGATTATCTCAAAAATTTTTACACAAGTTACTGTAAGTGACATGTGTAAGTGACAAATATTAACATGTCCAAGGAAACTGGGGAGACCACAGTTAACTGAAATGTACCAATAATCTCATAAACAATAAAACCTACTGCAATCTACACCTCCCTTTTTATCAAAACAATTAAAAAAACAAAGCTCACCGATTTGGACTTTGTTTTCTCTACACTATTACCTCCTTTCCTACCCTCCATCCCCACCTCCTCCATCCCACCCCACAGTAGAGGTATTAACGATAAATGAAACAGCCAGAATTTGGAAGAAAGCAGATGCAAAGAACCCACTGATTCTCTTTATCTATTGCTTTAAATAGTAAGTTTTCATGCATATACATTTACATAGGAATAGTCCAAATACCTGAAACTGTACAACTGTTTTTGGTAACTTCATCAGAAGATCAAATGCTAAGCTTTTCACTGTTTCAAAAGTGCTGGTTAAACATTCTATTAGTGTTTGGAAATGGCGAACATCAATATCATGACTCAGCTGATACACTGTTTGGACTTGACCTAAAACAAAAATGATATAAAAGTGCATAAAAAGAAAAGAAAATCAACATTTTGAAGTTATTTGGCCAAATTTATAGAAAATTTGTACAAAAATTCAAACTTTATACTTTACCAATAATAACTAAAAATAAATTTCCCATTAATTTTATTTAAAATAATAAAATAATAAGTATTACAGTTTTCCAAATAAGATGTAAACATTTTTTAATTTGTTTAAATAAAAATTTATTTAAAACCACTTCATTCTCTTTCAAAAGGCTGTATGTTGTAACAGGTGCCTAAGTTACTTTTTGAATAAATAAAAACCAATAAATTAAGAAATATATCTTTTAAAAAAATCTTATAAAACTTCTTGACCTAGAATCCAAAGTCCTACCATGTCTTAGTTAAACTGAATAATCAATGTGGAATAGCCCAATAGAATTACTGGGCATCAAAGATAAAGGAGAAATTTTTTGGCCATTCTGGCAAAAAGCTCAATTCATCTACAAAGTGCAAAAAAATTAGTCTGGCTTCACTCTTGGACACTGCAACACATAGCACTAGAAGACAGTGAAACAATGCTTACAAAATCCTCAGGGAAAAAAGTATGACAAAAAATTGTGCATCAAAATCCTATTCCAGTATCAAGTATAACAGCAATATAAATATTTTTTAATGTATAAGAAATTAAAAAGTACATTTTCCCAACTCTTCTCAAAGATGAATTTCAGCAAAACAAGAAATGAACAGAAAAACTATCACAAAAGAATGATGACAGTCGCTGAATTCATTTAACTCCAAGATCAAGACTGAGCAAATGTGACAAATAATGGCTTTCACAGCAGAATGTGAAGAACTCTTACCAGCTTTTAACAAGTTAATCCCTGACAATAACTGAAAGCAGTCCTATGCTTACTTAATTTGACAAATGTTCAATATAAATCAGGGAGCTTTTTAATTTAATCTTAATTCACAAGGTAGTATACCCCTGTGAAATTCCTAGAGCAAGGAAAGGAAGTTTTTGTCACTTCACGCCTCTGCTCAAATTTGCTTCTTCTATTCAAGTTTGGATACCTTTTCTTTTTTTTTCTTTCTCTTGCCTAATTGTTCTGGCTAAAACTTTCACTAAAACAGGGAACAGCAGGGGTGAAAGTAGCATCTTTCACCTGATATTCCTGTTCCTCATCTTAGGAGAAAGGCTGTCTTTACCAATTGGCATGATATAATGTTGGCTGTGGGTTTTTCATGAATGTTCTTTATTACATGAAGGAGCTTCCTTATATTCCTAGTTTGCTGAGTGTTTATCATGATTATCATGTTTTTTTTTTCCTTCATTCTAATGTGTTACACATTGTATATTACATTGACTATTTTTTCCTTATGTTGAAACACCCGTACATTCCTGGGATTAAATTCCACTTACTTAGCCATGGTGTATAATATGTACTTTTAAAATGATGTTGGATTTGGTTTGTTAGTACTCTGTTAAGAATTTTTGCATCTATATTTATAAGGGAGACTAGCTTATAGTTTTCTTTGGAGTCTATCTGGCTTTGGTAGCAGGGTGATGCTGGCTTCATAGAATGAGTTAGGAAATGTTCCCTCCTCTCCAATTTTTTAGAAGAGTTTGAGGAGGACTGGTTTTAATTCTCCTTTAAATGTTTGGTAGAATGCACCAGCGAAGACACTCCTGGACTTTACTTAAGAGGTTTTTGATTACTGACTATCTCTTTACTTGCTATAGGACTGTTCAAATATTCTGTATTTTTTCTTGAGTCAGTAATTTTATGTTCCCAGGAATTTGTCCATTTTATCCAGGTTATTAACTTACTGGAAATAAAATTGTTCATAGCATTGTTTTACAATCCTTTTTATTTCTGTAAGATCAGTGGAAACATCCTTACTTTCATTTTTGATTTTAGTTATTTATGCTTCTTTTTTCCTTAGCACAGCCAAAACTTTGTCAATTTGTTGATCTTTAAAAAAAATTAAAAACCCAACTTTTGGTTTTGTTGATTCTCTGTATTGTTTTTCTATATTCCACTTCGTTTATCTCTATTCTAATCTTTATTATTTCCTTCCTTGTGCTAGCTTTAGGTAAGGTCTGCTTTTTTCTAATCCCTTGAGGTATAAAGTTAGATTATTAATTTCAGATCTTTTTACTTTTTCAATGGAGACATGTACAGCTACAAATCTCCCTATGAGCTCTGCCTTTGCTTCATTCCATAAATTTCAGTATGTTATATTTTTGTTTTCATTCCTCCCAAAGTATTTTCTAATTTTCCCTTGTAATTTCTTCCCTACCCACTGGTTGTTTAAGAGTTCTGCTCAAACGCGAAGCTCTCTCTGACACTACTGTATGAAACAGCTACCACTCCCCACCCTCCCAGGCCATCTATATCTCCCTCCCTTTCTCAATTTGAAATATACTGAAGTACTTATGCCCATCTGAAATTCTACGTATTATTTGGTAATTTATTGTCTGATGCCCTTCACTAAAATCTAAGCTCAGAAATGGGAAGCACTGCGTATCTTTGGCTGCATGACATATAATAAGTACTAAATAAATGTTTGCCTTTAATCCAATTGTGGAATCAAGTTTTTCACCATGAATACTGTGATATTTTATTCTGAGTAAGAAAGATGCATGTGGCTTATTCTTCTTGAACAAGGACATACTTGAGGAAAAGCAGAAACCATTTGACTAATCCCAAATCACAGACCTTCTGTAAAATAAAAGATGAAGAATAAATTTTCATTTCCCATCCTGTATTTCACAGGCACGCTTCTTTAGTTTCCTTTAAAGTTAATGTATATGTGCCCTGGCTGGTGTGGCTCAATGGATTGAGCACCGGCCTGCGAACCAAAGGGTCACTGGTTTGATTCCTAGTCAGGGCCCATGCCTGGGTTGGGAGCCAGGTCTTCAGCAGGGGGTGTGCAAGAGGCAACCACACATTGATGCTTTTCTCCCTCTCTCTCCCCCTCCTTTCCTGTCTAAAAATAAATAAAATCTTTAAAAAAAAATAAAGTTAATGGATATACTATGACTTGCATCATTTTCATTACCCCCAAGTTGTTTAATTAGCATCAATACAGTGACATCAGTCGCTACCCAATTATGTGTCTCATTCATTCAGATGAATCAGGTTTTTCACTTTATATTTTAAACTACTCTCTCAATTAAAAAATTACCTGTATAATTTATCCTAGTGTTACTTCCCCTATACCTAAGTGTAACTATAACTACACTAAAGGTACAGAAAACTTTTTGTTAATTGGATAAACAATCACTCTTAGATAAAACTTTATTTTCTAAGTTCAGCTGTAGTACCACTGACATTCTCTAAACTGATGGATGCCCCATATACATTTTCTGTGGTGGTTGTAACAAATTACCACCAACTCAGTAGCTTAAAACCACAGAAATCTATTCTCTCCCAGTCCCAAAAACCAGAAGTTTAAATTCAAGGTGTTGTTAGGGCTGTGCTCACTGTAGAGGCCCAAAAGGAGAACTGGTCTTTTGTCTCTTTCAGCTTCTGGTGGCTGCCAGGATTCCATGGCTTATAGCCATATCACTCCAATCTCTACTGTCACATTGACTCCTCCTCTTCTTTCTTTCACATCTCCCTTTGCCTCTCTCTTATACCAACACTTGTGATGGTCCGTAGGCCCATCCAGATCACCTGAGATTCTCTCATTTTAAGATCTTAATCACATCTGCAACGAATTTTTTTCCAGGTAAAGTTCACACTCATAGGTTCTAAGGATTTGATGTGGATACCTTTTGGAGGTCATTTTTCAGCCCCCCACATCTACTTTCATCAGGTGATCCAATTTATCATCATGGATGATGAGACAAGCCAACATCTTTTGCTTCCTGATATCATGCCCTGAGAGAGCCATCCCATCACCCATGCAATGTTCCTACCAAAAGTACGTAACCTCAATGAAATCATGAGGAAACAATAAGGCTGAGATACATTCTTCCAAAATGTTAATGCCACGAAATAAGACACTTTCCAGATTAAAGGAGGCAAAAAGGGATATAACAACAAAATGCAATGTATGATCCTGGACTGGTTCCTGGATTACAGGAGAAAAATTTTTTTTCTAAAGAAGGCCACTTATTGGGACAACGGGAAAAATTTGAATATAGACTGTATGTTAGATAATAGCATTACATCAACATTAAATTTCCTGAATTTGATATTCGTGTTATTGTTAGAAAATTAATGAGATAGAGAGATAAAACAAATATGGCAGGTTCTTGAAAAACATCATTTCATTCAATGTCCTTTCATTATAACATTGATGAGGGGAAAAAAATACCAATTCCTGGCAAGGGCCACCATCTGTGTGGAGCCTGCAAGTTCTCCCCATGTCTGCTTGGGTTTTCTATGGGTAGTCCAGTTTCCTCCCACAACCCAAAGATGTGCATGTTAGGTTAACTGGTGTGTCTAAATGGCCCCAGTCTGAGTAAGTGTGGTGTGTGGGTGTGTGCCCTGCCATGGAAGGGCGTCCTGTCCTGGGTGGGTTCCCACCTTGTGCCTTGAGCTGTCAAGATGGGCTCCGGTCACCCAAGACACTGACTAAAATAAAGAGGTTGGAAAAGAATTATCTTACTTGTTTTTATTAATCTTTCTTAAATGTATGTATATCTCACATTTATTTCAATGTTTACTATTAGAAGTGTTGTAGGTCTTTATTTAGAAGTTTGGTGATGTTTTTTATGACCAAAATTATGCTGTAGAAACTTAACTCTTGTTTATGTCAATTAGTCTGTGGTAAAATTGGTTTTCTCACAAATTGTTTCACTTAAAGTTGCAGTTTCCAAGAACCCATTATTGCCATTAAGTGTAGACTTTCTACATGGCAAAATGTAAACTAGCAATGACTCTAGATACAGGGTACGTGGCTGTGAACTGGACTATTCTTGAAACTTTGCTGTTGGTTTGAATTTTTTCAAATAAAAACTTGAAAATAATGGTTTTCTTCAAATGAAGCAAGCCTGTGTTAATATCAAATTACTCTCCTCCCAGCCAAAAAATTACTTTCCTAAAAACTTAAACTAAAAAAAAAAAAACACATCTAACTATAATGTGAAGTTCCCTGGTCCTCTGGCCATTCCTTCAGAAAAAGCAGCTGAGCAGGATGTTTTTCTGTTTGACTATGGTCAAGAAAGACCGAGCACGAACAAGAAATTCATATGAAAACACATAAACTCATGTACATGGATAAAAAGAATCATATCTTGTCAAAAAAGAAAAAAGAAGTCAAAGGGAAGTTAAATGTTCAGCCTCTCTGAGCATCCCACAGAAGAAGAAACAGAGGGCACCATTAAATCGGAGTGCCTGGAAACGACACCCTCCCACCGTCTTCCTGAAACTGGATCGAGACTTATGAAACACAGAGCATGTAAGGGAAACCACATTTTAACCGCAAAGACTCACTGAGGAATGTTACAATAAGAGAAACTATTTTTTTTTTTAAACGTAACAGATTGGGCAGTATATTAGAACACCAACATATAAATTGGGGCAGAGGAGGATAGTGACTCTTCTCGTAATAATCACAGGTCCATGAAAACTGTAGTTTTGAGTTGGCAAATAATGAATACAGATAGTTTCTCTCTCTTCTCCCATGTCCCTTACTGACAAATTTGATTATGTCCACATAACAATTATATCGTGAGAATAAAACCTCCCATATAAACCTAAAAAGACAAGAGAAATCAAATGCAAGTAAAACAAAATGTTGAAAAAGCATCTGTTCTTCAAGAAATAAAAATACTTTTTCAAATATTATTGAAAACTTACCTTCTGGGACAGGAAAAACTTCAGCTATTGAGCCTAAAATGGTTAAAGCTGAAAACCTAGTTGGGTAGGAAGAGCCAGGAAACAATGCTTCAAGAAGACTGTTGCAAATGGATGACATGAAATTCTAAAAAGAAAGTACAGTAAGTATAATTGAGTTAACTCACAATAGGTTATCTTCAAAGTATCACCTTTAAGAGTGGGGTTTTTTCTTTTAATTAAGGGAGAAAGTTTTTTTTTTTTTTAAACAATACTAGTTGTTCGCTTCCCTTGGCAATTCTGATTGATACCCTTGATCACAAGCTGTACCATGACTTTAAGGAACTCTGCCTTGGTAGAGTCAACAAATACAATTCCTACTGTATTCCTCACAAGAAAAAAAACATTTTTAGGAAAAAGAAATCCATTCTGCCCTGACTTATGCTAAAGCATTATGACTACTGACTTTCTTCACCAGAGACATTCAGGCATCAAGGGTATGTATACATTTAAAATTTTTAAATGACCGAAGAAATATCCAATATATACTACCTGACAAATTTGACAAATGTAATGCTTTATACATTTGGCTAAAATGACATAATTCATTAAAAAATCCAACCATTCCATTGTCTTCTGTCTGCCCCTTTGAGACTCCTGCTCTACTATTCTCTTTATACAAATGATGAAAAATGAAAACTTTCAGTAAAATGCAATTTTTCAACAAAAAGTAGTGGGAAATACTTCCTCCAGGATAAAATCTTCCTCTTTTAATTAAAATAATAATAGCTAATTTTTTCTGTGTAACATCAAAGAGAAAAATTATAAGGAAAAGTTGTGATGCTCAAGCATCTCATATACTACACTATGCCCTGATGACACATTTGTAACTGAGCAGATAAAAGCAACTCTAGTCTCAGCTGACTCTAGATGGGATTCCTGCATTCATTTCTTTGGTCAAGGACGTACAACTTCGGGGATTTATCCTGCAGGCCCAAAGTAAGAGTTTATTAGTTTATTATTTCTACTGGGTTTCAAAGGAATAGAGTAGTTGTTGAAAACATCCTAGTTAAATTAGTTTTAATTATAAATGAGGAGCATAATATTCACATTCAAAGGCAACAAGATCGTCCAATTACAGTGTCATTTACAGTTCAAGAAACAGTTCTTTCACTCAACCAGGCTGTAACCACAATGGAGACGGGGGGCCATAGCTTATAGTATATTTTTATCTCTAGTCCTGAGCATACTGTCCTGTACACACATAAAAGGGGCTCAAAATACGTTCTAGCTACTTTTAATGGGTCCTAGTGAGGCTTTCAGTTACCTTGGCATAGTATTCAAAACTCTGTTTGATTTACTAACTCATTTCCAACTTGCTTTTCTAACTCATTTCCCATTACTCACCTTTTCTGTTCCCCCAAGTATCTTACATCATTCAACCAGTGGATTCAGCATTCCCCAAATTCTCTCTGTCCTTTCCTACCTCCAGCCCTTCACAAACTGGTACTAAGGCAAAAACAATATTCAGATTTAGAGTCAAGAGCAACTCCAGGTCTACAACATACTAGCTGAGAGACCTAGGGCAGGTTACTCAACTTTTCCAAGCTTCAGTTTTCTCACTTCTATGTGGGTCTGACAATGCCTATCTCACAGCCTGGCTATTAAAGATTAAATGAGAACATGAATATAAAGCATTTTATAAATTTAAAAATATGCTAGCTATTAATATCAGTTATTCAGTTATGAAATAATCCCCCTCACTGGACTAGAAGACATCCTTTCCAACTAACAGCCTCTTCTCCTCCCCAGCACTTAGTCTGCTGACTGGCTCTGAACCTACCACACACTGTGCACGACACCCACTGTTAAGCTGCTGTTGATAATGTAATGCCAAAGTTGCAACCTCCAAAGCCACAGGTGACTACAGTTGGGAAAAAATATAAGAACCAAGAGATTGACTCAGATTAAGACTTTACAGACTAGTTGTCAAAAAATATATATCCATAAGCACAAACAAAGAAAACATGCATACACGAAAATTCAGAACGTCAATCCACAATATTGGTTTATGTTTCTAAGTTCCTAATTCAGAAAATAATGTCATGTTACCTCTTGCAAGAAAAAGCAAAAGAGATGTGTTTTCTTAGATCATCTAGCAATGACCCCAAAAAGGCTAAAATGTAACTGTTCCGCACAGTAAGTGCTCTATATATACTCTAATCACTTTTAATGACTCCCAACAAGGCTTTCTAGAGTGATTTAGAGTAACAAGAGCTTTCTCATTTTATCCTCAAAACCAACCTTTTCACAGAGGTTACTAATCCTACTTATAGTTGAACAGGTCCATAAAGTAAGCCAACTAGTCAATAGAATTAGGACTAAACTTAGGTGCTTAAAGTTTAGGTTGTACTTTTCTAATCTTCATTGTTAGGATTTTACAAAGATGAGGCTGATTTCAGCCTTTGTATAGGAATATTCTTCTTCAGATGACTTTTTACCTTTTATACAAAATTGAAATCTAGGGCCTATCCATAATGTTTAGGGTAGGTAGTATATTATGGCTCCAATGTATCAATTTATTACATTTGTTTCCCTAAATGAAATAGAATAGATAAACTCTGTCCTCTATCTGTGTCTTAGAAGAAAATTAAGAGTCTATTTCTGTGAGGCTGGATTTGGAGGAAGAAACCAGTGATGAAAAGCTCATTCTATCCTAATGAAGAGAAATAAAAGTTGCCAAGCTGAGCCCTGGCCCACGCTGGGGCTTCTGTATCTGGGGTTCCATCCATCCCATTAACATGGTACACTAAGTCAGCCCTACTCTTCCAGCTCACTCCAAAAGGGTATAAACAGGAAACTCCACAGCTGGACCAAGGGCCAGGAATTACTACCATCAAGCTTCTGAATATCATAGTATAAAGGAAGCAGGCCCTGATTTACAGTCTCCCACCCTAGGGTGGGGTAGAGTTCAGGGTCAGCAGTTACCTTCCTGTTAAAGTACTAAATTCATCTGGCCCACATAAGCTGTAAATTATTGAGGCTAACTCATTAATATTATTTTCTAACAGACCTGAAATCCAGCCCTGGTTCCACAACTCAAACCTCCTCAAGAAAAGTACAAAAGCACCAGGAGGAATATGTGAAACCCACCTTGAAGAAAAAACAAAGAAGCTCAACTTACCAAGAGACTTCCATTTATTTTCCTTTCATGCATATTCATTTGTTTCTTAAGAATCTATATGTCTACAAAGATATCACCTACCTTATATTGCTGTAAAGAAACAGAAGGGTGCTGTTGGGTTAACTCATTCTCTGGTTCGTGTTTGGATTTATTTTGTTCCAGTTTATAAAGTACCTGAGAGCTTTCCTGTATCCTACAAAACAACTTTTGAGAAAAAGAGAAATGAAGCATACGTGAGCCATGTTAACCTTAAATGTCAGCCTACAAGACAAAGGAAAAACTTTCTACATTCTTTACACTAAAACTTCAGCCAAAGAAGGTACTGCTTTTTAAATTCTTAATGTTTATACAGTGCCTCTTTTTTACAGAAAGTTAGCATTTACACTTTTAAAACCAATACCAACATATTACTGCAAACCGGAACACAAGTTATTAAATCACAGTTCTATTTCCTTTAGGTCGGCCTGAACCTAACTAAACATGATACATATTCACTTCTATACTCTAGCAATTCTTTACTCCATAATTGCGTTACATGATTATTCCAAGTTGAATTATTCAGTAATGACTGCTTCATGAGGCACTTCGAGAAACTATAAAAATACAAGGGCATCCTTCCTTAACAAAGTTTTCTTAAGATAATTTACACCACAAAAACTTATCACTAGATTTTTTTCCGTTTCAAAAAAAAACAGAGTTCCAGTTTGACTTATTACACCAAAATGAAAAGACTTTTCACTTCAGACTTTAATCCCAAATGCAAACTCTCCTATGGGATCACAAAGCAGTTCACAGGGGAGCCATGAAGAGATGCGGCACTCCCAGCCCACGACCGTTACTCTCACACACTCCCAAAATCGGGGTTCTTCTGATAAATAATTTCCCGGGCAAAGTTCACACTTTCCTATGCTTTCTGATGAAAAATTCTACCTTTTTAAGAAGAGAACAAATCTGTTGCCGCACTCCTGGATATTGACTATTAAGATTGTATGTGATAAAGAATTGAATCCACTGCATTTCTTCTGTGGAAACGATTTCTGTGCTTCGATTAGTTTCGCAAAGCAAGCCTAATGTATCTATCCGCACCTAAAACACAGCAAGCAATAAAATGTTAATTTTCAATGAAATAAGCGAGGCCTAAACCACTTGACATAGTTAACTATCTACATAGGCTACTAAAGGAAAAAAATCAATAAACCTCAGTTTACCCATATGTACTTCAGAAATGTTCCCTAATCCCAAAAATTCTGTTGTTACTTTCAATAAAATTATTTTATTAAATGTGTAAATTGGATATTTATTAAAGTAAACAATTTTAAAGACTCTTATGCCACAGTGATGTTCAACTTCATTCTTTTTTTCTCAGTGACCACTGTATCCCGGGACCTCATCACTTTACTCTTAGATTATTGTCACGCACATCTTGTCCCCTGGTTTCTTTTCGTTCCTGTCCTGCACAGTCATTGCTGCTTGCATTAATTTCACTTCATTGCTGAAAATGGTTCCCAGTTACCAAGTAAATGAAAACTGACACCTTCAGCCTAGGATTGGAGGCTTCCATTAAATAGACAAAACACTCCACTATTGACAAACAATGTTTTTAATTATTCTCCAGTCCTTGTTTGTCGTTCTGTGGGGCTGCAATGCTTCCTCTCCTCTCCTCACATTTAGCACTTTTGTCATCAGCCACCAGGGCTCTGATTAGTCTCGTCTCCTGAGCTTCACAAGACCTTACAGGTAGAGGACCCTTGTATCTGTATTTTCTTCTAAGAGTCTCTAGTTGTTCTATGCAGGTTTTGTTATTCCTCCAAATAAACTGCAAGGAGCTTAAGTGAAAAGTCTTCGCTTTTCATTCTGTATTCATCATTCTTATGGACAAGGATGGGCATAACACAGGGGCCTCTGTATTAGACTGCTAAATGGAAAATAAATCAGGGATCTACTGCATGCGTTAATTTCTAGTTATTCTGTTGACTTACTTGGCAGTGCTGATGAATTAAGCCTTGCTTTATTTTTGCACTGGACACAAGATTCCTCCAGGTATCAGTTGCAGACTGAAGATGTCCATGAGCTCTAGCTGTTCGCAGACATGCCATCAAAGCTCCCAGGGCCCCTCTACTGTGATAAGACCCTAAGAATGGAAGATTGCTCTAGTTTCAAAAGTGCAGTACCAAAGACCAATATTGTGCTATGTAATAACTACCATAAATGTGAAATATATTAAACATATTTCAAAAAATAAAAGCCAGAGTTTAAACTGATTTCTAGCATGAGTTAAAGTTCCTATTATAAAATAATTATTGAAAAGATTTAACAGTTCTTGTGTCAATAATGTCGAGTAAGCATAATCTTCTTTCTGTTAATTTTTTTAAAAAATCATAACTGTTTGCTAATATTTTTATTTTTTCCTTGACTGTTAGGAAGCAAATTAAGAAATGAATCAGAAAAAAAAAAATCAGGTGGAGAAATGCGTAAAACAATAAAAATAACTAAAATGACTTTCAGCCAAAAACAGGAAAAACACTTCAATGTTTTATTTCTCTAAAAATGAACACTGAACCTCTCTGAATATTTCCCCTAGTAAAGAAGATAAAAGGAGAACGGCAAAGAATGTGATGCTTTCACAGGCTAGGACATCAGCCATTACTAAGGGGACAAGGAGCTCTCGTTCACAGGGCACCTTAATGGAAAAACAAATGCTGCCTCACTTCAGAAGAGGCTCATGAATCCTGAACTTCAAATGGCTTCTCAAAAAGATAAGAACAATTATTAAAAATTATAAATAATGACTTATTTTCGTGTCTAGGAATCAAACTTTTCAGCTACCTCTTAGCTACTTTTCCAAGTACTGAAAACCTTTAAATTATTTTAGTTGCAAATATTCTTAAAATGCGATATAGGGTACCATAGTCCTGCTTTGTGAAACAGAATATAATAATGTGAAGATTTGCATGATTAGCCAGAATCATAATTTTATATATTAATTATTAAATTATGCTTTAATGCAGTGACTCCTTCAGGGTTACTGAGTTTCCATGGAATGTTTACCCCAATTCTAAATTATTACATACAGCTATTTCTTGAGGTCATTCTCTAAATGTTTGTCTCTTTCCCAGAGGCAAAAACTTCCACTGCCAATTTACTTGTTTAACCTTGTCAAAAGAGTTTTTAATTATTCTTTTGACCACTTCAATAAGCAAATTATGTAAAACACAAACTTTTACTCCAGTCTGACAACAAAACAACACATGAGAACTTGGTAAAATAAATTAAAACCTAATACAGTAGTCCCTCCTTATCCACAGTTCACTTTCCACAGTTCCAGTTACCCACGGTCACCTGTGATTCAAAAATATTAAATGAAACATTCCAGAAATAAACAGATCACGTTTTAAATTGCGCACTGTTCTGAATTGTGTGATGGTATCTCACATCGCCCTGCTCTGTCCCTCCCAAGACCTGAACCACCCCTTTGTCCAGCATATCCACACTGTATACACTACCAGCCCCTTAGTCTCTTAGTGGCCAACTCAGTCACTACTGTCACAGTGTCCCAGTGCTGGTGCTCAAGTGACCCTTATTTTACTTAATAATGGCCCCAAAGCAAAGAGTACTGATGCTGGCAATTTGGGTACACCAAAGAAAAGCTATAAAGTGTTCTCTTTAAGCAAAAATGTGAAAGTTCTCAACTTCATAAGAAAAAAATAATTGTATGCTGAGGTTGCCAAAATCTATAGTAAAAATGACTCTTCTATCTGTTAAACTGCCTAATTTATAAATGATACTTTATTATAAGTATGTATGCATAGGAAAAAATATAGTATATACAGGGTTTGGTACTACCTATAAGTTCAGGCATCTGCTGGGCATCTTCAAATGTATCCCCTGAACATAAGGAGGAACTATTATAATAAAATAAACCTCATTATCATAACTTGAATCAATCCTTAGCCTGCAGAAATGACTTCAGCCAAAAAACTCTATTCAGCTACGTGCAGTAACATTGGTTCAATCCGAAATCCCTATTATTAATATCCTGCTTTACTATTTACAGAAGTGATGACATTTAAATTTGAATATAGTCAACATCTGCCTGGGTAACTATATTTAAGAATTCTAACTAGAAATTACTAAAACAAAAATTCATCTTCTTACCAGTTTTAGCATCAGCAGAATTCTGAAGAATCTTTACCATGTAGCTTAAGCTTTCAGGATTGCAATTCAATAATTTTGGCAAGTAATAATCAATCACATAAGATTTTTGATCCAGATTTCCTTCACACAGTATGTAAAGGAGAGGAGAAACCCAAGTCTCATGCCACTCATCAATCCAAGTACTGTCGACAGTCTGAGATTTCAAATGACTTTTATGATTTTTAAACATGGTTTCTAAGAGGTCACTTGCATAAGGTACCAGGGACTGGTCCCCCATCACCTCTAAGATTTGCGATGGAATATTTTTGGCTAATGCCAAAATTCTTTCAACTCCTGTGCAGTCTACTAAACAACCAAGGCATATGTACTTCCCTTTAATATGCCACTCCAGTCGCAGAAGGCTCTCAGTCAGTTCAAAAATGAAACGATCAGCAGCGAAATCTGACTTGTCCAACTCTGACTCTTTGACAGTGAGCTGGTGCATTTGCAGAATATTTCTGAATATGATTTTGGTTTGGTGTCTCAAAGCATCCAATGGATGTTCCCAGTGGGTATAAACATATTCCAAAAGTCTCTTAACTATGCTTGAATTCCCATTCAGGCTGTCCTTTAGGCTTGGGGAACTTGACTCAAGAACATATATGGCTGAGTTAGTCCAAGATGCCAAAATTCTAGACAGAAACATTTCCAGAACTGATTCCTTGATCCTGAAGAAAAGTGAGTCAAATTATTATAAAGTAACTAGTAAAATAAATTTCATTTTATTATCATGTAAACTTTAAAAATACAAACACAAAGAATGATCAGAACATCCTATCTTTACTGAATTTATAACAAGAAATTATAAACAAGGCCAAAACAGACCTCAAGTTAGTACATAAAATCTATTCATGTTTTGAAATATAATCCAAAAAAAGACACAAAGAAATTTGTGGGGGTGGTGGAAATGTTCATTATTTTGATTTTGATGATTGTTTCACAGGTATTGCAAAATATTCTGAGTGGCCAGGGTTGGGAAGTTAGTTGGAATAGGGTTTCTTTTGGGAGTAATGAAAATATTCTAAAGTCAATTGTAATGATAGTTGAACTTCCTGTGAATATACAAAAAAAAAAACAAACCTGTAAATTATATCTCAATCTGTTATAAAATAACACAATGAAGAATAAATTTTAAAATATGCACAATTTAAAAATATATACAATCTTAAAACACATATAAACTGAAAAACATGTAACATAGTTTATTTTAGAACATTGCAGTTTTCTCCCTGTACCTACATATTCATTACTGTCACACTGTATCTAAGGTTTGACATGTTAAGCACATAAACCCTTTCAGGAATTATAGCAAAAACACCAAAAAGCACAAACTACAATCCAGTGAAGTCAAGAGACCTTGCTACAGTTCTACCTCGGGTGCTTATTAGCAATACGCTCTTAGGTTAAAGCATTTACTCTCCTAAAACATTCACTGTGCCCATTCAACAAATTAGACTTCATGTCCTATTTATCAGACATGTGAAGATCACACTGAATTACCTATAATGAAGTTGTTCATAAGCTATAAAGCACTATACATATAGAATTTTTATAGTTTTTTAAAAAAGTGCTATAGCATCCGAGACTACATATTAAAATTAATTTTAGAAATGTTCACTACAGCCCTGACTAGCGTGGCTCAGTGGGTTAGGCAAGATCCTGCAAGCCAAAAGTTCACTGGTTCGATTCCCAGTAGAGGCACATGCCTGTGTTGCTGGCCAGGTCCCAGGTTGGAGGCATGCAGGAGGCAACTGATTGATACTTCTCTCCCTCCCTCCCTCTAAAAATCTTTAAAAAAAAAAAAAAAAGAAAGAAAGAAAGAAAAGAAATATTCACAACAGGTTAACCTGCACCAATAATTTCTATAACCTTCTCTTATCATCCCATTTTTTCTTGTTCTACTTTCATACCTACTTCCCTTTTAATCCCACTTAATTTAGGATTATCCTGGCTACTTTTTGTTCAATTACTAAATACACTGGCTCAGTTGCCATCTTTTAAATGTCTGACAAGCAAAACAATACATGAGATGGCAATACCAAAACTCACTGTGAACTCAAGGTGAACAAAACATGCACAGTATCCAAGAGCAGGGCCTCCCCACGCGGGCCCATTGTCCCGTTCTGCCAGTCCAACATGGTGAGTGTCCCCTGACACAGGAATAAGAGAGCTGACTCGGATACATCAGCACAACAAAGGCTCCTGCAGGAGTTCAAAAACCACTCGGGGATGCTCGTGCAGTCCACTGAACGGAGAAGCAAGCTACTAATCTGAAAAATATAACAGAGCTAATACATATAAAGCCTCTAAAACTTTTCAGAGATATTTCCAAATATAAATCCAAAACTATCTTTTCCCCAAAACATTCCAAGAAAAACAAATGAATCTAAAAGTAAAAAAGCCACATGTGTTAAAATTATTGTAATAGGAAAAAAAAAATCTACGTATAGTACATGAACAAATTTGCTGGTCTGAATGTACTGGTAGAGCACAGCACATCGCCACCTGCAGGTGGGGGAGCTTAATTAGTGCTTTTAAGAAATGATTTAGAAAATTTTTAATTTTATCCAACAATTACTTTGTGTGACCTCAGAGAACGGTACATATCTATTTTGCATAAAGTCAGGCAAAGAGCTTAAATAATTTTCTAAATAACACAGTGAAGAAGAAAACTGCTAGTAGTAAAATAAGGATTGTGGCCCAAATTATCAAATTATACTCTCCATATGATCAATTCACTGAAAAATTGATTCTAGTATGCTTCCTCTCTAAAACACAATATTTGGGTTATTCTTAATAAAAAACATATTTATCAAAGTAAACAGCACTAGAAAAAACTAGAAGACTACACATCAAAGAATGTTCATAATGATTATTTTCGTGAGATGGGTTTACAGGTAACTGTTGTGTTCTTTCTGTTTGATATGAATTTTTGGAATTGCCTTATATATAAGAGAAAAAATCATCAGGAAAGATTCTGACTATGCAAAAAATGTTTAATTCACTTCTATAAAAATATTCTTTTAGATAATTTATTTAATATTTAATTATTTAAAAATATTTTTAAACAGTGTCAAACTATCAATAAAGTACAATTCTACAAAGGAGATGCACTCACCAAATCAGGAACCTTTTCAGGTGGATGAAACATAGCCTTAATAAAAAGAACAGCAGCTAATCCCGATGTACTCTGAATTGTCCGTAAAAGGTCATCTATTTGGCAAAAAAGTAGACAGCATGTATTAAAAAGTGATGGATAGTTTGAAACAGTGGAAAGAGCAGATGCCGCAGGGTAAGACAGTCCTGGGTGCGATTTCTAGCTTGACTACTTGCTTGGGCAAGTTACTTCCCCTCCTAAGCACTCAGCATTCTCTTCTGTAAAATGGGAAAAAATAACTTCTATCTGACACAGTTCTTGTAAGGTTTAAATGAATAATGAACATAAAGGCTTTTATGCTCAATACATAAATACTCAATGAATTTGATTCCTTCCCATCTGCTCTAACATCCACTCTTCCTTCCTCTCCATCTACAACCTCCCAACACCAGTAGCAGCAATATAGCCTGCAGCCGCCCCTCCACTGATGCCTCTGCACCCCAACCACCCACATTGCATTACTATTTCTTAGTGATTTCAGGGCTTGTGTAAAGAGCCTGCATCAGTGCTAATTACAAACTTTGCTATAGTTGGCACTGTACCCAAACAATCTTGACTTACTATCTTCTTTCTGTTTTCTTTTAGCCTCTGGTTTGCCAGAAAGTATACTAAATAACATGGTCAATTATTTAGCCTGTTGAAATAATTAAAAATACCTGCTGTAAGTCATCTACTAATTATCCATTCTGTCCCTTATCCATGTTAATAGAATTATGACTTTGACTGAAGCATCTCTGTGCCTAGCCAAAGGCAATATAATTGTTTCTCCAATCTTCCTTGCAATTAAAGGTAGTTATATGAGGGTTCAGGCCAATGGGATATGAGCACAAATCTCTTGGGTACTTTTCATTTTCCTGGTTAAAAGTAACGATGCAACTGGTCCTCCTTCCTGACTTAGAGACAAGATGTCTGGAGCTACAGCAGTCATATTGCAACCACAAGGCAACAAACATGTGGGTGAAAGCCAACATGCTTAAGATGGCAGAGCCAAAAGGCAAAAATATGTGGGTCCTAGTCTGCCTACAGTAGCTCTGGAACACCTGCTCCTGAACTTCTTGTTATGTAGAAAGGAGGGGAGACACATTTCCTTACGTCCCTGAAGTTCAGTTTTCTGTTGCTTACAGCTGAACATTTACTGATACATAAAGCTTTAAAATCCTGGGGAAAATAACATTGATTAGGTGCCCTCAACTTTCCAAAAAAGAGGCTGCCTGACAGTAAAATCATGTCTTCTCTGCATTTCACCACTTAGTAATTTTTTTTTAGATTTAACAAATTTCTCTTTTAAAAGCAAATGTCCTCAGAAAAGACGTCTGTCAATTAGCCCTAGCTTGTGTGGCTCAGTGGATTGAGGGCTGGCCTGAGAACCAAAGGGTCACCGGTTCGATTCCTAATCAGGGCACATGCCTAGGCCAGGGGCCAGGTCCTCATAGGGTATGCATTAGAGGTAACCACACATTGATGCTTCTTTCCCTCTTTCTCCCTCCCTTCCCCTCCAAAACTAAATAAAATCTTTTAAAAAGAAACACTTAAGATGTCTGTGAATTATGTTAACAGGAATAACTTTATTTTCCTTTTAATACCTATATGAGACACTAGGCCAAAAAAAAAAAAGAAAAGGAAAGAAAGAGAGAGAGAAATACTAATTGGACAATTTAGCTAGGACTTCCAGTAGTTATCAAGGTTAAAAACATATAAACAATGAAATTATTTGTTTTCCATCAGTCTAGCAAAACCAGAGTCAGTTACTGTTCTTTACAAATAAGAACTCTGAACAGATCTAATTAGTGTTTTTAATTAAGTTAATGTTCATACATATATTAATGTATAAAATGGGAGGTAAAGGACAACAAAGTAATATAACTTTTTATGTAGATACTTATGGATTAAGTCTCACTTTTTTTTGTTAACCTTATTGTAATATAAAACATAGAGAACATAAAACAGAGATACAGAAAACCACCCAAAAGTATAGCTGAATGAATTATTAAAAGGCAAATGCCCTTGTACTCAACATTCACGGCAAGAAGTAGAACCTGTCTACCCAGCCCAGAAGGCTCATCCATGTTCCTCATCCCAACCACAAGCCTCTTTCCCTCACACTGAGTAAGCGTTATCCTTTCATAGTAATGACATCCTTAGTTTTTTAAAAAATAGTGTTATTGATCAAATGTGCAGCCCTAACTGCTATAATTTAGTTGTGTCTGTTTTTTAAAAATTTGTTATGTGTCTAAGTGTCTTTTAATCTACATGTGCTACCTCTGCCCCTTTCCATTCATTAACAGTTTTTCTGCTGAAGAACTCTGGCCTTCGGGCCTGCTAAATTTCCCACAGTCTGGATATTGCATTTGTTCACCCCTGGTGCATCTCAACATGTTCCTCTGTCCTCTGTAATTCGTTAGTTCGGCAGATGACCTAGAAACAGGGCCAGACCATGGGGGTAAAAGCAGAACTCTGAGGAGCACATGTTGTCTGCTGTCTGTTTCTGTAATGTCAGCAGCCACTGATGCTTAATGCCCACATCAACTCATTGGGGGTTACAAAATGGTGATGTTCTACATATATCATTTCATTTTAATTTATTAGTTGAAACACTTTCATAAAAAGACCCGTCTTCTCATTAACGATTTGTTTTCCCAGTGGTACAGTTCATATGGATAGAAGCAGCACATGAGCTACAAAGAGGCATAATGACCAGTCCCACAATGACTACAGTCATTTGAATATGGTATCTGCTGCGAGGAGAAATATATGGATTACACCAACCTTTCTGTATCTTCCTTCCAAATTTGGAAATTTCTTCTCTATTTTCTTTTGCTACTTAAAGCCTTTCAATGCTAAGGTTGTTAGGTTTTTTCTTTGTGTACAACACACACACACACACACACATACACACACACTTAGAAAAGTCCTTCAACTTTATACCTTGTTGAATTGCTACATTAGAGAGACAAAGCATTAAAACCTTGTAATCCCAGACCTTTCCCCTTTTTGAGGGTCTGAGGGAGGAGAAGTTCTACATATCTGTTAGGTATCATATATACCATACCATTATTAGTAAAAACTGAGTGACAATCATAATCATTATTTGTATGTTTTTACACTTACCATCGTTTAAAAACTTGGTAAAAATACTCAGCAATTCACACATACTCTGCCATGCAGGAGAACTGGAGATCTTCAAATGAATTCTCTGGAGGCCTTGTGTTTTCTGTACTAACATTACCGAAACTCTAATGCCTACCAATAAGTCATTCATCAACTGCGTTTGAACAATATGATTTCCAGCAAATTTTCTACAATGAAGAAAAGATGTTATCACAAAAAAAAAGGCAAATAAAAATGTCACTATTTCTATCCCATCTCAAAAATAATACATTCCTCAATCAAAGGGCCAAGATCAATTTTAGATTACAGCATTTATGTCTTTCTCTTCTATTCTCATAAACATTCCAATTATGTGTCAGACATTTATTGGAAACTTTGAACACTCTTAATTTACCTCAACATTTCCTTCTTTCTCAGCCAATGACTAACCTCACTTCTCTTTTTTAGAATGAAAATAGCAAATTAAAATAAATAACACAATTTATAAACTTGAACTCTCCCTCAAATTTGATACACTTCCTTCACATGGCTTCCAAGAAGCCAGATTTTCTCCTACTTCACCATCACTTCTTAGACACCTTGGCTAGTTCATCCTGCTCTCCCTGAGCTGTTCACGTTGGAGCTCTCCATGGCTCAGACTTTAGTCCTCTTCTTTTGTCCATTTAATTCCCTTGATGCAGATCTCATCTAGCTCAGTACCTTCAAATTATATTCTATATGCTGACAATTCCCAAGTTTAATCTCCAACCCAAACCTCTCTTTCTAATTCCAGACTTGTATATGAAGTTTCCTACTCAGTATCTTCACTTGGATGTCTAACAGACATCTCAGATTGCATGAACTGATCTTCAACTCCAAACCTACTCCACCTGCTGGGATCTCTATCCCACAAAAACTTTGTAGTCATCCTGACTCCTCTCCTCCTCATTCCATCCTGTTGGTTCTACCTTTCTTCAAAATATATCCAGATTCAGACCACCTTCACTGCTAGTCCTGGCCTGAGCCACACTCACCTCTGCCTTGGGTTACTGCAATAGCTTCCTAACTGGTCTCTCAGCTTCTATCCTTGCTCCTCTTACACTATTCTCAACATAGCAGAACACAGAGAGATAACATGAAAACGTAAGTCAGGTAAAAATGTCTGGGGTTCCTCAAAAAGTTAAGCATAAAATTACCATATGATCCAGCATTCTACTCCTAGGTATATGACCAAAAGAACTGAAAACAGGAATTTAAACAGATCCTTGTCTACCTAACAATGCTTATAGCAGCATTATTCCCATTAGCCAAAAGGTAGGAATAACCCAAATGTCCATCAACAGATAAACAAATTGTGATACACGCATGCACACGCGCGCGCGCGCGCACACACACACACACACACACACACACACACAATGGAATATAATTCAGCCATAAAAAGAAATGAAATTCTGATACATGTTACAACATGGATTAACCTTTAAAATATTATAATTGAATAAGCCAGATACAAAGAGACTATTGTATTCCACTTATTTGAGGCATCTAGAATATGCACATTCAGAGACAGAAAGAATGAATACAGGTTACCATGGGTGTGAGAAGGGATAAAGACAGTGAATTTTCTTTTGGACACATTGAATGTGATGCACGTGTAAAATACCCCAGGTAAGATGTCTAGGAGACAACCGATGATATAAATCTACACTTGGAGAGAGCTAGGTTGGAGCAAGAAATCTGGATATCCTAAGCACAGAGATGATAGCTGACACGAAAGAAGTGGGTGATATTAAGTAGTCAGAACAAAGAGAATAAAAAGGACAGAACCCACATTTAAGAGAGTAAATAGAGGATGAAATGCCTAAAAGGTGACAGAGAAGGAGCTACTTCCAGCTACAACCAAAGGAGACCTTGGGTTAAAGGTGGCGCACAGGTATTATTTCCACTCTCCCTTAGAACTCCCCTAAACCAACACACAAGGGATTTAAAACATAAAAAGACGTAAGTACACAAGAACAACAAATAGACAATGAGACAATAATAAAATTGGAGAGGCAACAAAGCAGATGGATAAGGGATAACTGATTTAGCAAATTCAGGAAAGTTGACTACTAAGCCACAGAACCAACCCAGAAGCAACCCAATGTGCAGGCCCAAAAGGCTAAGAAACTGTAGGCACTGGGTACTCTTTGACACATAGGTAAGTAAATGCAGGGCTGAAAACGGGAAGACTGGCAACAAATCTGTTGAAAAAATAAAAAATAAACACTCTGGATCATACGTCCAAGCCAGCAAGCAACCGGTTTACCTCTAGAGAAGGTAAAACATCAGGTGCCTGGACAGGAGGGCAGCACACACAAATAAGGCAACAATACTATATTGCAAACTGGAAAATTAGGTAAATATATGCAAAATGAATGCCAAATGCCAAGACCACAGCTTTCAGACCCAGCAATCAGATTATTAAAACAATGGCTTGGAAGATTCTTCCATGGTGAATCCACTACCCATGCAAAAAGACCTAAAGATATGAACATCGGGTAAGGGTTCCTCAAAGAAAAAGCCCAGCTACACTAACCCACAATAAAATGTTCAAACAAGCCTTGGCTGGGTAACTCAGTTGGCTAGAGCATCGTCCCAACACACCAAAATTGTGGGTTTGATCCCCTGTAGAGACACATAGAGGAATCAACAAGTGAATGCACAGGTAAGTGAAGCAACAAAAATTGATCTCTCTTTCACACTCTCTAAAAATCAATCAATAAAAATTAAATTAACTAAGGAAACAAACCCCTGCAATCAACCACACTCACATGCATAGAGATTCAAATCAACTCTCAGTGCCCCTATTCTTAAAGACAAGTGCCAACCGAGGATCACCAGCCTTCTGAGGAAAGCTTCTAGCAACAAATACAGTGACCAGCAGCAGCAAACAGAAAAAAAGCAACTTGGAAGAAATAGAGGCTATGTACAATTTTTTTTAAAAAACTGTCATTATTATCTTCAGAGAGATAACAGAGGCTACTTCATCCACAAAGTTAGAATAGGACGCTATGAGAAAGGACCATTCGGGTGGAGGAAAGAGCTCTTCCCTTTCTCATTTATTTTCATAATAATTTATTTCATTTTTAAAAATTAAATATCAAACCTCTAAAAAATAAATTTAAATAATTAGGTCTAACATTAATGGAGAGGCATAGAAAGAAACACATTGTAGAACTTTTTAAAAATTTCTTCCGTTCAAAGACATGTGCAATGACAAGTATGCACAAGCATGCCAACGCGTAACACTTGCCTATTTTCTTCTGAGATTTCAATTAAACTCTTCTGTAGAAAATGAAGCACTGAAACAAAAAGAATATAATGACAAACCATAACTTAAAAACTGTGAACTTTAACTTCAGCACAAGAAAATATTTTAAATCACTGTTACCTAAAATGATATCATAGTACAGGAGTAGAAATTTAAAAGGAAGGAACATTAGGTACCTTAGTTATCTGCAGCACTCTATCTACTGCCAAGAAACTTAAACGAGCCAGTTCCAAAATGCCTCATACAAGCAGTGAGCTCTCAAATAAAATAAAATAAAATAATAGGACTTACCATTTTCAAGAAGATTATTGACACTTGTTATACCTGTGGGAGAAAAAATTAACACTGGTAAGAAGTTTCAGAGCTGAAATTAACATCATTTAAAAACAATAATGTTATGACAGGTGTTAGCCAGAAAAAGGACTAGAACAGAACTGGCTTACCCAAGTTAAAGTTCTCCATACATGAAGATATATTGTCAATTACTCTCCTATAAGAGTATACATCAGTAGTATTCAATTCTTCCTGAAGACGAGAAGTAAAACTTTGTATGGCCTCAGTTAGAAAAAATTCATGTAGGCAATTTAGTGAGCTAGAAAAAAAAGTAGGTATTAAAAATCTTGACAACTCTGTAGTACAAGGATATGTAAGGAGGGAGGGATATCATTACAGAAGGAATGCTGAACTAACCCTAAATACTGCCAGAAAAATAACTTAGGCTGTCCTCAACAGAGTAGCCAAAGTGGCAATACAAAAACACCGTGTTTTCCCTCTGCCTAAAATCATCCAGTAAGGTCCCTCCCGGTCAAAGTAACAGCCAAAGTGCTTCCAATGACTTACTTACAAGACACCGTCAGTCTGGCACCACCATTACCTTACATCTTGATCTTTGTTCACCAACTCCAGCTACGTGCCCTTCCTCTGTTCCAACAACACACCAAAGCCTTTGCTCTTGCTATTTCCTCCACCTGGAACATTTTTCCCTCAACTATACCAAATAATTATTCCTTCACCCCTTTCAAGTCAATTTCAAATATCACCCTATCAATAACAATCAAACAAAGATATCTAAAGGGACCGCTACGTTTTAAACTGTAGCCCTCATCCCATCCTTGGGTCTCCCTTTCCCCCTTCTCTGCTTTATTTTTCTCCATAACACTCACACCATCTAATCCTACATATTTTACTTGTTTATTCTGTACATTTTCTATCGTCCTCTTAGAATGTAACCTCTATTCTAGACTGTTTTATTCACTGTATTCCCAGTACCTAGAAGAAGAGTTGCCACATCGTTGGTAGTCAGTAAAAATGTATTGAATGTATAAATTAATTTTACATCAATTAATCTCAATCAAAACCAGCAGGCATTTTTTAAAAATATGACTAAACAGTTCTAAAGTTTTTCTAGAAGAAAAAAATATCAAAAATGGAAATATTCTGAAAAAGAAAAGCCACAGAAGGGATGACTTGCTCTAACATATAATGAAACCACATTATCAAACTATAGTGAATAAAAGTGTGATGTTGGTGTATAAACAAATAGTCCCAAGTCTAAAACCAAACCAGGGAAAGAATTTTTAATACTGGTTACTTTTGATCAGATCGAACATTCATAATGCCCACTTCCCTTCTTTTTTCTCCCTACCTTGCCAAGACTTTCTTCAGGGGATTCTTTAGACTCAGTGAAAAGTAAATGCCTGCTAAAATATCCAAGCAACTTCTAATGGTGGGATCACACGTGCCATTTTTATCTGCCTCCTCCAGTAAAGGCACAATCTATAATTAAAAAAAATTAGTCATGGTAATTTTTTCTAATATCAAGCATAACCAAGAAACATGGACTCAGATACTCTTTTAATTCTCAATTATAATGTGAAATATTTTCCACACTGCGCTGTGAAGGATACTCATTTAAACATCTATTTCCGTATTTATTAACCTTGTTAACACATGCCCCCAACTTCCACTTTACCCTCCAAACCCACCTTCACTGAGACTTACAGTCCTGTCAATGGCTTTAGGTACAGGAATTTTGTAGCACTATTGAAAAATCAATAATGTATTTATTTAATTGCTTTCCAAAAAAATATTATGCAAGTTTAAATGGTGAATTCTAAAATTAAAATACTAGTAAGGATAGTCTTTATATTTTAAGTTAACTTTTTAATGTGCTTGCTAAAAAGTTTTAAACATTTGGATTAGTAGAAATAATCTTTTAAATATCTCCACAAAAGGTAGGTACAGTTACCTCATTATCATAACTATTTATAGTTCTAATAGTGGCAGAAGCCTGAATATGGCTTCCACTGCTACTTCAAATAAAAAGATATTACACAATTAACAGAAAGAAAAACCTATTCTTTAATGATGCATTGATATTAAATAACCAGAGCATAACATTATCAATTAATGTTAAAAGTCCATAACAGCATGATAATCTTCAAGATGCATGCATTAATATCAATTCAGCCTTACCTGTTTAACATAACGGATTTGTGACACTCCATCGGTGAGTTGCACACAATGTAACAGCAAAGAAGCTAGATTTTTCCCTTCTACATCAGCCAAAGCTACATAACACACACAAAAAAATTTTCTTCAGTGACTTAACAATACACTGATATGAGTTTGCCTTTGTTATATAGTCTATAAAACTTAGTATTTATAACCCCCCCCCAAAACAGGCAGAACTCAGTCCAAAGTAGAATTTTAAGAAAACCATTTTACATCTAAACTGAACATAAAGAACACTGAAAAAATAAATGGCAACAGTTTGAACACTAGTTAATATGAAGTCCCAGAGATAAAAATAATCCATTTGCAATCTAGGAAAGAAATAAAGCCAGAAACCACTCACATCTCAAAGTTTCAAGGTCCTGATGAGAAATGCTCAATGCAGTAACTTGCATTTCTTTCTTCTTCTTCTTCACAACCATTTTAAATAGTAGTCACTGCAAGAAAGGAGAGTTTAAGGCATTGTCTAATGCAGGGGTCCTGCACCTCAGCACTACTGACATTTTGTACTAGATAATCCTTTGTTGTCGGGTTGTTGTGCTGTGCACTGTCGGACGTTTAACACATCCCTGGCCTCCACCTACTAGATGCCAGTAGCATCTTCCTCCTACCAAGTAGTGACAACCAAAGAATATCTATAGACATTGCTTAATGCCCCTGGGGAGCAAAGTTGCTAGAGGTTGAGAACCCCTGTCTAAGCATTTCTACTTTGGAAAAGAAAAAAAAAAACTAAGCTCAAAAAGAGTTTATTATTGTCTAAAGTTACTTTTACCTACTATAAGCCAGTCTTTGTATTTTAAAATACAACAAACCTTCATTTTAATAACAAAAGAAACCAGCATGGTTTTTCCAAAAATAAAGTGTATCTAACCAACTTCAGTAACTTCTTAAGACTGACAGATCAGGAGGTGTCATAACACATTGTATCCTGATTTCTGCAAAGTAGTTGATAATTTTTTGCATACTGTCCTTGTGGGTTTGCTTTTCGTTAAAAAAGAGTTTCTTTTTGTTAACAAGGTTCATAATGGACTGAACAAATGTACTAAAAAAATACACACTAATAGTACCAGGCCATCTGGAAACAAATCACTACAGGGAAATGCCACACAAGGCTCTTTTCTTGGTGCAGTTAGCATTTTTAGCAGTGTATATCATGCAAACATTAGAGGACATAACAGAGGGAAAGTATAAAAGAATTTATACTTTAGTTTATAAGAGACACAGTGCTGGGAGGACATGTTGGATGATGGGATCAGGATTAAAAAAACAGCCCAATGAACTAGAATAAACTCACCAAGATGAAATAGGAATAAATGTAAAATGCTGCATTTAGATTACAAAACATAATATAGAAATACAGGATGAAGCAGCAGGGTGAGGTGAAATGTAATTTAAAACAACTCAATATATGATTTGAAACAGCTCAAGGTGAGCCAACAGCACAACATGAATGCTAAAAAGCACATTAGGAGTCAAGCAGATGAAGGGAGCGCATGATCCCTTGATCATCCCACAGTCAGGTGACAAGCGGAGCATTAGGTGCAGTGATGGTGGCCACATCTTAAAGGATCCATAATAAATGAGAGAGCTTCCAAGGACCAATCAGACTTCTAAAGGGCCTAGAAGGCACCCCCTTCAAGAACAGCTTAGTTAACCAAAGGTGGTCTGGAGAAAAGAGGACAGGACAAACGCCTTAAATGGCTGCTGGGCTAATTAGGAGAAAAGGGGAGTAGATGTCTTGTCTTGGTATAAGATTATGAAAAAGTCCAAGCTTCAGGCAGGCAGATTGCAGCTCAATGCAAAGAAAGAACTCTATGTTCCAACCACGGAATGGGCTGCCTTTTAACCAGAGAATTACTAACACCAGAAATATCCAAAAAGAAGCTGAATGAACCTTTTTCATTTGGACTCCTGCAACAGCCTCCTAACTGGTCCCTTCACTTCTACCCTTGATTCTGAAGAGTCCATTCTCTTCACAATCATCCAAACAATCTTTTAAAACCTCTAATAAAATCTAATTACTCTCTCGGGCTTCCCAAGGGCTTCCTTTTACACTGAGAATAAAATCCAAACTTGAGACCTTGGCCTTCAAGGCCCTAAATAATCTGGCCCTAACTTTCCCTGCACTTTATCTTAAATTAATCTTCTCTTCACCATCTCAGGGACTCAGCTCTTCCTCATGCTCTTATTCCCATCTAAGGGGTTTTGGACACCCTGATAATTCTCGTTCCATCAGGTCCTTACAAGGCTGACTCCTTTGGATCTCTTCTAGAAAAGCCCCTCCTAAAAGAGCCTTCTGTGACCACTTTCTCTAAAATGCCACCATTCCTACTCACATACACACCATTTCCATTACTTTTTCTTCACAGCACTTACTACTACCTGAAATTACACTGATTTATTTGTATATTGTCTGTGTTCCCTAGTAGTAAACACCATGAAGGCAGCAACTTCAATCTGGTTTGTCCACTGTTTTAATTCTCAATTCCTAAATGAGTACCTGGTACATATTAGGTACTCAGTAAATATTAGGTGAATAAACATATGAATTAATTAACAAACATGTGTCAGAGATGTTCTAGAAGGGATGTATGCCTTTAAAGGCAGAATCATGGCCTACCGAGTATCTAAAGTTTATTCTATATATAAGTAACAAGCTAGTCCTGACACTGATGAACTATGGTCCATTTGTCAAATCAGATATCAATATAGTGATGGCATGTGAAAAACCACCTAACAGAAAATAGTAATAAAAATGGACACAGCTAGAAAGGCATAGACAATGGAAAGAATTTGAAAAGTGACATGATTAATCTAGGGAAATAACTGGGGATCACTTCCCAGGGAAACTACCATTGTACAAAGTTTAGCAGAGGTAGAGACAGACAACTGGGGAGACTGTTCCCAGGTGAATGGTGAGCAAGTTTGCGTCAAGATTTAATCTTGGAAACTTCGAGACTACACACTCACAAAAAGTGCGGTACTTAAGCATGCTCAATGGATGCCTAAAAGTTTGTCTTCATGAACTAGGTAGGCCTCCCCAATACGGGAAAACCCCATGTCCACCATAAGGCACAGCTTAAGTGGCCAGAAGATGCTCAGCAAATTATACTCCTCCGGGGTTCCCCTGGCTGCTTCCCTTTTCAAAGGTATCTCTCTCCATCTACACCTTTCTGACTCCTACATATTCTCTAGGCAGTTTTCGAACCATGGGAATCCGTAGAATGACAGGTGAAAAAAAAAAAATCGGTTAAAGTGCTGTCTCCAAGGAGACCAAAGCGACCGGAAATTTGTAGCGCAACACCAAATTCTCGCGAGGCTAACGGATGGGAATTGGTGTGAATCGCCGGGCAGCCCCTAACAAAGTGGGAGAGCCCAGCGATGAAGAGTCACGCGCAACCGCGGGTATGGCAGACGGGACGCCTGAGAGCCAAACCTCGTGCCTGTGGGCGTCTGAGAAGAGTCGCAGCCGTTTGGATGAGTCCCGGAAGCTAGTATAGTTCTACGGTGTCTCGATGGCTCTCAACGTGGTCTTCTATCGACTACCGGGTCGCGAAGGGAGCGAGGCGAGAGGACCGGTAGGAGGAGCCATCGCGAGATTTGAGCTACTGGGCTCCTCCATTCGAGAGTCCCGAAAGGTCGTGATGTCACTGGGGAACGGGTGTGACAGAGTGGATTTGGTTAGACTCTGACTTGAAAGCGTGCGTGGTACCTTACCTACTGCGCTGCGGCAGGCTGGAACTCTGCCTACCTCAGTCGCCTTGGGACAGCTTAGGCTGTGGCCTCCACACACCTAAGTGCATGGGAAACACCTTTTCTTCCACTCAGATACTCCATTCTTCTCACATCCGACTTGCCCAGCGCAGAGATGGGGAAGAAACTGCATTTAGGTCTCCGGAGCGAGGAGCCTAACAATTTTAAAGCCTATAAGAGAGGGTAGTGGGTGGGGCAGGCTTTGAACCGAAGCCACAATAAGAATTTTGACGAAAATGAGAAGTACTTAATGCTAGTGCATTGATTTATTCAGCAAAGAGATAATGAGCGCTATTGTCGGAGCGTGGCTAAACGTGGGCCTGGAAAGTTGCTCACTAATTAGAATATGTATATGTTACATAGATAATGCAAATTGTCAGATGATTCAGACCTTTAAAAATAAATAAGTAAAATATCTAGGTGTCGAACACTACCCTCGGAGCTGGGACGGGGGAAGATATTGAAATAGACGGAGATGCTTTGTTCACGTGTGATTAATTTGGCAAATCAACTGAGAAGGATTACAGTTCCCCAAACCTTCAGTCACATTGATGACCTTAAATTTTTATCATTACTTTTCTTAATTTCACTTCACCATCCTTTGTTTTTCTTTGTACAGTTGTCACATGTGTATGTATCTCTAGAGAATACCTTATTTTGTTTGATATTGAGCTTTGTTCATGGAATCGCTTTCTCTGGGACTTTTACTTCCATCAGTATTGCTTTTGGCATTCATCCACATAAAAGCGAGTCTCTATTTCTTTCCTTCCTCTATTATCTAATATTCTATTGTTTAATATACCACATTCATGTATCCATTCTACTCCTTTGGAGATTTGGACTGTTTCCAGTGTTTGCTGTAAGAATGGTGCTGTCAACTTTGTTGTGCATTTCAGCTGATGAGCGTGCAGAACTTTCTCTACAGCTTTGTTTTTGTAATATTTTTGACCAGAACTGATAGTAAGAAATACATTGTAGTTGGAACCAAGTACACGTAAATGTTTGCATATATATATAACTGTTTTATTCTGGGAAAGTCAGCAAAATTATGCTCCAGAAACTGGTTCTGTCTTTGTTAGCAAATTATTTAGTACAGGTTCACAGTAGGAGGTATAATAATTTCACAAACCAATAGCCTACAAGATAATATCTCTTAATAAGCCAACTAAAAAAAAAAACCATACTCCAAATACATGACAAATTAATCACACTATTGATCCAGGCAAGGGGAGATGAAGGGAAAAAAAAAACAACTTCAATGTGACGTGTGCCTTTTTATACAAGGTCGCACTCCAGGAAAGAAGGCAACCAACCGAGAGCTGATCTCAAGTTACCAGGGCAAAAGAAGTTCATGTGGTAGGCCAAATAAAGTCTCCCCAAAGATGTCCATGTAGTAATCCTAGGGCCTGTGAATATGTTATCTTATTTGGTAAAAGGGGCTTCACAGATGTGATTAACTGAAGAAGTGAGATTGTCCTGAAGTACCCAGGTGGACCCCAATACAAGGGGAGAGTTTGGAATTTAGGCTGCAGTCCTTGGTTTGGGGGTGGATCACTGGGTGCTTCACACAGTCTTTGGTTTTCACCAAATTTGAAAAGAAGAAGAACAGCTGCTTGGCCAGAGTTGCAGCGGCTGAAGTGGTACATTTGTGTGTCACATGATCACCTAAGCTCCTAACCTCAATATGGTGCCAGGGTGGGTTATACTTCTTGCAAATCCCTTCCCTAGTTGGGCCACAGTGCCCTTCTCTGAGTTGTATTTCTCTAGCACCTGAGTAGTGAGCTCTCTGCGCATCCTCAACACACCCACATTTTTTATCATGGCCTTTCAGTCACTTGTGGTTCTGCTGGATCTGGGGCCAGCCAACAGCTACAGTCTTGGGGGGTGAGGCTAGTGGAACCCAGGCCAGGTGGGAGCTGGCCCTGCACCCCTAGCCCAGGCACTTCCAAGCCTGAACCAAACTATCTTGGTCCACACCCTGTGGCAGCACACTGGTGTGGGAGTGGGTGAATTCAGGCAGTGAAGTGATCATCCCCTGCAGGATGGTGTGAAAGAGTCATCCAAACCCAGCTACTTCTTCCTCTCTCACAGCATAAACAAGCAAGAAGACAGGAGTTGAGGATTCTTGGAAGAAATAAACCACACTGTTGGCATCCCAGAATGCAGGCAACTTTTGGGTTCTTCCAGGAGGAGGAACAAACCTCCCAGGGCCTTAGACTGGAATGCATGTGTGTCGGGATGTTCTCCTTAGAGACCATCATTCACACTAGTCCCTCCAGCAAAGCTTCCACACCTGCAGGACTCCATCCCTGGCCCCAACACGCAGAGCTGGCCTGGACTAGGGAGGAACACGTGTGGTCCCTCCTCTCAACCCCAACGATTTTTACTTCTCACAACAGACCTGTGAAGCGTGCAGGATTGGGATTCTCATTTTACTGATGAAACATGTTCAACCCGAACAAATGGCCGGTGTGCAGTGGTTCTGATGCGTAGTCCCGGGCTCTTTCCATTATATTCCAAACTCTCCTTTCTACGTGCTAATGAGGACAAGTGTGTGGTGACACTTTCCTACAAAGTGAAATAATGCCATAATTACAAGGGCTTAGGAATTAATGGGACTAAATGGGTTTACTGTTAAATTCTGAAGCAGGTGATGTAGGGTCAGAGAGTGACTTTCCAAGTGTCACCTCTGCCTTCTGGTGGTCAAGTGACTGTAACTAAAACAACTGGGTACTGACACTGTCATCGTATAAAAGGCATGACCCTGAGGCAAGGTAAATGATTTGAGCGTGGGCTCTAACTTTTAGGGCCTAAGATGACAAAAATGTTAAATATACAAATAAAAGAGGTTTTACACAATTGTTTCTACTCAGGGTGAGAAACCTCATAGTTTACAAGAGAAGAGTCCCTTCACCCATTTATTCAACAAATATTTATTAAACATTGTCTTAAATTGGTTCCCCAGGAAACAGATTCTAGGCAGAGATTTGTGTGTGCGAGGGCTACTGGGGAATACTCTTGAGAACAACCCTGTAAGGGCTTGAGGTAAACTGGTCAGATAGGATAGAGCTGGGATGAATTTGTCACGGAGGCCTTAACCAATCCTACTGGGAACTCTGGAGATGGCTTGGCAAGGGACAGAGCCTCTGTCCTGTATCAGCCAGGTATAGGATCAGACAGTGAGCTGTAGCAGCTGACACTAACACCATCTGGGGAATGAGTGCCTTTGTCCTAAAGGGGGAATCCGGGCTACACATCACAGCATCCGTTACAGACCCTTGCTATGTTCCAGACCTGTGTCATGGTCTAAAGATAGGATGTTGAGAAACACAACATCTCTGTCTTCAAAGTTACGCAGGGGTGCAGAGTTAGAGGATCAACAAGCCAACAAATGTTTTCAAAACCAGAAAATAGAAAATGATCTTATAGCTAGAAAGTGTACTTCATACGCTGAAACAAAGAAAAATTGATGGCAATTAAAAAGGTTGAAAATATTTAGGGTGAAAAGTGAATTCGTTCTCTGCTGGTGTAAAACTGAAGAAGGGAAAAAAAATCCATCCAGAAACAGCTCTGAAGAAATTTGCCTATGAAATGTAACCAAAGCATTGGGAGATTACTCTGGTATTCATCTAAAATGTACTGTGGATCCATCCCTTCAGCTCTCCCCAAAAATAGGCAACAGGACTTTCCCTCTATTTGGGAGCCTACGAGTGTTCTCAGCTATTGAAGTGGAGGCCTGCCTACAGCCAGGGCCATGCTGGATGCTAGTCTTCGGTGGTTTTCCCCAGACACAGCACCGTGGGGCGATCAGGAAGAGCAGCTCCTCACTGCCTGGTTAGGTGGAGCAGGGTGGTCTTGATGCTCCCATTGTCCCAGCCGTCCCCTCCTCTACCTCTGCTTGTCTCTCCTCTTTCTCCATCTGGGGAATCTTTATTTCATCTGGGATAAAGGCCTGTTATCCCAGCCTGCTACTTACAACATGATAATGAACTCTATACCGTGATCTTTTAGGGCTTAAATATTTGAAATGAATAAAACTTCCTCTGCCACGAATTTCAGAAAAATCATGTGGGACTTAAGCCCAACATGGCATTCCTTGTTCCTGGTTTAGCGGAGGCAGGAGAGACAGAATTGTGCAGGAGGTTTGGGTGGGGCAGAGGACCACAGCAGAGGCACCTGTCGACAGTTCTAAAATCTCTTCAGAGCTTCAGATGCTGGAACTTCAAACGAACATCTCATCTGGATGCCCCGCTTCAAACTTCTCTCTCTTTTTGCCTTGCTTCTACCTACCTAGAGTTTCCTCCTGATTTCTCTGTACCAGTTTACGACCTGAGCGGGCTTTTTTCCCCTCAAATTCCACTTTCTCCCAGCGGAACTTGATTTATCAAGTTCAAGATATTTCCATATTTTCTGTCACTACCCCAATTCAAGACACTGCTAACAAGCTCCTTATTTGTCCCTGTAGAGCAGAGTGTCTTAACCTCAAGCGCTGCTGATGGAAAATTGCTGGTTGTGGGGCAGCCCTGTGCATTGCGGGAGGTTGAGCAGCATCTCTGGCCAACACCCACTAGATGTCAGTAGCGCTCCTTAGTCGTCACAATCAAAAATGTCTCCAGACGAGTACTGTGTTGCGCCATATTGGGACGTGAGACAGAAGGAAAAAATGTGTGTCCTACATACACTTGTCAAAATGTGCTCTCATATTTTGAACCAAGTGTAAAAGTTAATGAAAGTTCTACAACAATGACAAAAAGACTGAATTCTCTCTATGCTGATGTAAAATTTGAAGGGTGGGGGGGAACCCTCCCATACACTGTTCCAGAGAAACTTTGTAGGGCACAGTGCAAAATGAAAATGCAGGGCCTCTTCTTCAAAAAT